AATCCCTGTCGTCATTACAGTGATTACAGTGAGTAAAATTTAAAACAAGGCGTAATCAACACAATACGTACTTTCAATCACTGGCAATAAAGTAAAAGTTGAAATTAAAATTTAAAGTAAATTTTTACATGATCATATGTATATCATGTTCAGAATTAGTTCTTTCTCGAGCATGCAGTAAAAAAAAAACAACAACATTTGTTTGGAATTGTCAATACGTAAGTCGTTTTCCTAAACAACTCTCTTTGTTGATGAATTAAGAATTGCAAAATTGGTATGTTGAATAGAAAGCCCTGGTTTTGAGGAATAACATATTTTTATGATTAAAAAAAGAACTCACAGTTTTCAGAATGGACTGGATCTTTCGGAAGCAGATATTGAATGATCCAGGCGGTGGTTGTGACGTTATAGGAAAGTACAGGTGTGAGAGTCTGGGTATTCCTGTTGTTACGGTGTACCTTAACGTAGAGCGTTTCCATGGAATCATATTCACACATTATGCGATTATCTATAAATATTTCAAAGTTTAATATAAAAAACGCACAATTTCAATAATCTACGATGGTTGATCCAAAAGTAATGTCACAACTTCGATAAAATCGCTACCCGTCGACGTAAAACCAAAAAAATTATTAATGATGGACTCTACATTTATTTCAAATCAGACCTGAAAATTTCAATTTAACATGGTTTATACTTTTAAAAATATTGGATTATATACAACGTTCGATTATGTTAGCCGCCACACCTTAATAACGTCATATGACGGATACGCGTCGTCATACATTTAAACGCTTCCCTTCGTTTCATTAAAACAATATTTGAGAACCATGAACACATTCACAAATTTCACTTTCTTAAAGTAAACTTGGTACCCATCGTACACTCATTTTTTTCAAAATTAATTCTTCTATCAAAATTTTTTATACGGTAGCATAGGACCAACATAAAATTTCACATTTCGCTCTAACCGTCTGTCCGTTTCGAAAACGTCAGACATCATTGAACGTTTCCGTCCGTCCTTCCTTCTTTCGGTCTTCCTGTCATCTGCTGAGTATTCAATGACCGATGACCCGCCAAAAATCACTGAAACCATCGAAACAAATCTCTTATTTACAGTCTTTCTTCTGAGAGTCTGATGAATCAATGTAATCTACTGGCGATTTCTCCATTTTGAAGCAAAAATGCATTACAGTTTGTTTTGGCTTCTTTGTCCATTTCGACATTTCCTTTTTTCAATGCATCGGAGTAAAACAACGATGATTTTTATATATAAAAATTGCATTGATGTCACAAAATTTTCAAATAAAGACTAGAAAATTATGTAAACTTTTGTCTTTTAAAATATTTTACGATTAGGCGCCTTTAAAAGATGCTTTTTAATGTGTTTTTCTTTTTATTCTGAAAAAAAAAAAAAAAAATAATAAGCTTAAATTTGTGACGTTCGGTTGTGACGCGGCGATACCCCCTATGTTCTATTTTTTAAACATCTATAAAATAAATTCAGTTAAACATTACTGTATGATACAAAAAAGTTTTATTAGACTTATATTTGTGCACCTTTTGGTATATTATATTTGATAATATGACGCCAAATATAAAAGATATGGACACTGTGACAATACTTTTGGATCAACCCTCGTATTTCAAAAATGGAAAACTTGCATGGTGTTTTTTTAAAACAATTATATGCTCCCATTTTAAAACTGAGACTTCGTTCACATTTATGATACGACTTCTTTACATGGAAAACAACAAGTTAAACATTTTAAAGGAAAGTAATAAAGTCGACAAGAACGTTGCGGTATCAACCTAAATCTTATTTTCTCAAACAGGTCCGTAGAAGGCGCGGGTATATGCCCCCACTTTTTCTGAGTTATTTTGCTAAAGTATATTTTCCTTTAGATACTGGATGGCCCCAGTACTTTTTTTTCATGAAAGGTAGAGCACTAGCAAACAGGAATCGGAGAGCCAGTAAGATTTTGTTTTCCTTAACAGATTATTCTTGGAAATTGCCTAACCCACTTTTGAAACCGTTGCTAGGGGTCTGTCTAAAGACAGAAATACAACAACACCCTTTTCCTGTCTAAAGACAGAAATACAACAACACCCCTTTCCTGTCTAAAGACAGAAATACAACACCCCTTTCCTGTCTAAAGACAGAAATACAACACCCCTTTCCTGTCTAAAGACAGAAATACAACACCCCTTTCCTTCCACGTTAAGTATGATTATTACACACAGCTTCACTTTACATTTATTAAAAGGTTTTTTTTAAAAATAGCATTATGTATAAAATGTGGAATGATTCTTGATCAGAGAGATAACTCCCGAAAGATATATTTTTTTTACCAGAGTTTAATGACGAGCAAAACGTAAAGCATCTCCATGAAAAGTGACCAGTTTCCATACATTCTGTATAATTTAATGTGGAATGATTCTTGATCAGAGAGATAACTCCCAAAAGATATATTTTACCAGAGTTTAAATGATGAGCAAAACGTAAAGCATTTCCATAGCATCCTGTTTACCTATAATGCCATTATCTATCAATATTTTAAAGTTTAAATCAATTATACTTTATATTACCGGGGTATAAATTCATTTTAATACTTTGGTATTTGATGTTTTACTTGTATGTTTGAACTCACATCTTTTTAAATAGTGAAAACATACATGTACAGACGTGTACATACATAAAAACTGCTTTCTAATGAAGCAGAAGTGTAATGAGATTTCAAATCAAATGTGCTATCACCCCCCCCCCCCACACCCAATTTTAGTAACAAAAAAAATAGACATAACATTATTATTATCTATTTATTTTTTCTTAAAACATTATAAATAAGCAGTTATAAATTAAATATCAATGTAATGTAACTAGCTGATATATATATAATACTGGTCTCAGGAAGTTACCAATCTATAAAATATACAAGACACCTTAAAAATTAAAATAAATGACAGTGGACCTCAGAAATGGGCGTAAATGATTCAAAATTCTAGCTGCATTAATATTCTCCTGTCTTACTCAAATAACATCATGACATTTACAAGAAATACACATCTCACTAAAATATTTAATAAAATCAAATGTATTAAATAGGTCCTTTTTAGAATATGGTGTATCACATGATAGCAGTCTACAATAAACAGATCTTTATCTGGGGGTCAAAATGTCTGCTACTTAATTCAGAGAACAAACAAAATGCATATCTGTAGGTTCTAATCATGACATATGTCTAAATACACGTCCTATGTAAAAAAACAAAGACTACAGAGCGACAACTACAAGGAAACAGAAATATCTAACAACCAAGAGCCAACTGGAAGTAATTCATAAAACAAGTATTACCTCCAACCTTTTTCTTTCAAATGACAAACATTCTCATAATTATATAATTTTATTGATTGTGAAGAAAACTATTAATATCCTTGAATCAAAATTAATTTTACAAATAGTAAATTTTAAGGGCATGCCTACAATTAATTTTAATTTTGAATGTTCATCCTTTTCATAAGGTCAAATGCTTTACTAGGCTTAAAAATCTTTAGCACAACCATGACTGATTAGCAACCAATCTCTAGGACCTTGAATGATTCACATGACTTTGCTTTTAAGACAGTTTAAAAAGATTGTCTTCTACTCAAAGGACACTTTCTTGTTCTATTTTAAACCAAACTCCTTGCCTAAACAAAAGTATTCCATGCCGTATTATCCGCTACAGAACAAACTGCTACATTCAATGCTGTAACTTTATCACAATACTGGATGACTCATATCAAGTTTTATCCACATGAAGTTATTATCAGAATAACATAAACTGACGAAAAATGAACCCATTTCGTTACTTTTACAAAACCTGACGAGACATGGGCTACATGCTCACCTGAGTTACATTTCCCTTTAATAAGTCAAGGATGCTTTAACTGTGACAAGTTGGACCAGTGGCAAAAGGAAAGAACTAACAAAAGCCACATATTAATAAAACTTTTTTGCAAAAAGAAAAAAAAAACTTAAATTTCGACATATCTATGATGTAATTTTTTATCCAGACACTGGTGCAGCCTAAGGGGTTGAAGCATGTGCATGTTTATTTTTGTGGGTAAATGCGTAGACTGTGAATAGTGAAATCACTTTTTTCTCTTTGGTCAGGCAAAATGAAAACATTACAGTTAAAATAAATACATGTAGAGGATGACAAAGCTTTTCCTACATTTCAGATTTTTTTTTTAATTTAAGGAGTGGAAATACTCTGCTTTGCTTGCATTGATTTATCACAATATGGCATAACTAAATTTATCACTTTTCCTAAAGTACTTGTAATTTTTTTTTATGTTCCTCCCTTGTCAATGTGTATCTAATTTGCAGATCAGTTCATTGACTCTTGGATGACTTCTCAAGCTGCAAACTTTGCACAAATGAATCAAAAATAAAACCTGAATCAGATTAGAGGATTCAACCTTGAACAGAGAAAATAAGCATCTAAATACTCATACAAATACAAAAATTTTATAACAAAAAAGAAAATTCAAAGTAAGGACAGATCTGACACCAGATTTTGTGATACTTTATCAATGCAAGATTGTTGTGTGGTATTTATATACAAAACAAATTTTTCACAAATTTTAGTTATTGCTCTTTATAAATCTAATACTAGTATTGTACGAAGGAGTGATTTTTTGCAAGCAGATAATCTTGAAAAATTACACGGAAATGAATTTCTTACAAATAAAAAGTGATTTACAGAATGAAACATGTTTTAAAGTTCTTTCAGAAAATGCGAAAAGATAAAAAAATTTCTTTTCGTGAATACTGTATATTTTAGTGTAAATACATGTAAAAAAAATTGACCAATGAAAATCTTTCAAAAAAATTTATGAGATGACTTTAATTAAAACACATTAACTAATGAATCACTAAGAATAAGGGTTAAAAACATTCAAACCTCATCATTTTTCATTGAAAAATTAACATTTTATATGGTTCTTCATGTATATAAAAAATAATGACTGTTACTAACTTATCCTCAACCCATTGTAAAATTGAATGCGCTTCATATAGTACTAGCTCTTAAAAAAATAAAATAATAAAGAGCATCCCAGTTGGAATAAAAATGTCAAAGAAATTAACTTCAATCTTACAATAGTTATTTTAAATGCTACCACAACTCAATTCTAAAAGAATGTAAAAAAAAAAAAAGAAAATTAATAAATAAAAGAATTAAAAAAAACTTTCATAACTACCAGACAGCCTAACATTTCAAACAAAGCACCATACAATGACTGCATTTTATGACCACATTCCGTCCAACTTCAGTATCTGTCAGTTTTTCTTGTGGTTTTTATAGGGCTCAGTGACAAATCCAACTCATCCGTGGAATCAAACAGCCTCTTTTTGGGTTCAGGCAGGAATGACTCGGAGCGGGAGATGTCCCCTGTTGTGGATGTGTTGGAGAGGTAGCTGTTGCCTTTGGCACTGGACTCTCGTATTGGATCCAGGGACTTGGACACCTGATAGGAGGGGTATGAGGAGGCTGGGGGGAGATTTGAGGTGGATGATGATGTGTTGGAGGAGTGTGATGATGAGAATGTAATGCTTGAGGTGACAGATGTCTGGGATGATGTCAAGTATGAAGAGGAAGCGTACCTTCCCTTGCCTGGGTCATCCAAGGTCGAACCACCTGTCAATGATACAGAATTAGGTAAGCTTGATGATACATAATTGGTGGTGGCAATGGGGTCAAAATGACCTATATCTTTCTCATAGGCATGCATAGGTCTGTTATCAATATTGTATGAAATACCAGAGGAATACTGATCTCCTACTAAAGAGAACCTCTGACTGGTGGTATATGTTTCTGAATCTTTATTATTCAGGGGTAGATCTACACTATTTGACCTGGTGTGAAGTCTGTTTGACAATGGCAATTCAGTTATATTAGACTTATTTCTGGGATTAACTCCAATATCAAAATCAGTGTATGAGTAACTAGCCTTGACAGGACCCCGTTCACCAACAACACTTGTGGAGTTAGTAAATTTATTAGTAGAAACAGCATCCAGTGCATCTTGCCTGGGAACAAGTGAGCCAGTGTATTTATTATTCTCTAAGAAAGGTGGAGGGTTAGAGGTGGAAGATGTTAGTCCGATGTCTGCTTGATAAGAGGATGAGGACAGAGGATAGGATGGTGGCTTCTGTGAAATGAGGGTGTGATCAGACGTGAAGGACTCCAGAGTGTCAGTGGCAGGTGGTGCATTACCCTTGGCCCGCTGGTAAGAAGCAGATTTCAGAGCAGTAACAGATGTTCCCAAGTCTGACTGTGATCTGGTTCTTACTGGTTTGGGTGGCAAAGAAGAGGCTAAAAACCGACTGGATCCAGCCACATCAGTTGAAGGCACACTGGACATACCTTGTCTGTCTGCTGAGGTTCTGTATTTGCCAACACTGTCTATGCTGGAGGAAAAACCTGGCAAAGAAAGCCTGGATTTATAAGTATTTGTTGGAATATCCTCTGTTGTGGCAAATTTACCAGCCTGTGTTGAAGACTTTGATGACATAAATAGATTATCAACAGATGGGCTGCGACTAAAACCACTCTGTGACAAGGGACGTAATGAAGTCGACTTGGTTGGTGTAGAGATGTCGTCTGAACTTTTCAGTCTGCTTGATGTCTGTGCCATGGAATTGTAGGACGGATAAGAAGTAGAGGAATAGCGGCTTGACAAGTCACCACTGACACCAAACTGATCATTTTGGGACAGCCCGCCTTTTGAAGATGAATACTGGTCTATGCCATATTTGTCCTTCTCCCCAGGTATGGTATACCTATCACTGACTGATGACTGATACCCTGTACTCTTGGAGTCCCAGTCTGATGTCTTCAGTGTATCTATGGCACTGGGTTTGTAGGTGGAAATTGTGGACCCTGTGACTGCAGAGTACCCACTGGTAGAGATGGGTAAACTGGAGGATTCCCTTGATGATGTTGGAATGTCGTTGTAGGCAGAAGAACTAACAGAATATCTGCTGGATGGAATGTCTGATTGTGAAGCACTGCTTCTTGCAATATCACCATAAGTGGAGCTGACAGAATATCTGTTGGACGGAATGTCGGTTTCTGAAGCACTGCTTCTTTGAATGTCACTGTAACCAGAGGCACTGCCTGAATATCTACTGGACGGAATGTCTGATTGAGAACTACTGCTTCTTGGGACATAGTCATCAGATGGATAATACTTTGATGGGTACTTGTTTTCAGGAAGGGACCTGACAGGATCTGTGGATTTTTTGTCTGAGAAAAGTGGATCAGACCTGTATGTGTCTTTCACTCGGTAATCATCCAAAAACTCATCATTTCTGGAAGCAGAGTAGGTAGTTGGTTGTGTTCCTAAGCTGACTTTCTTTTCTGCTCTGTTTAAAAGTTTCATGCAGTCTGTAAAGTCTGGAGTAATAGATATATCCAGATCATCCAGTTCGGATTGAATCATCTCTGTATCATCCAGAACCTGGTCATAACTGTCCCTCTTTTTGGATTTGATGGGGTAATCCAAGTCAAAACTTTCATTCCTTGGAAGGGTGTCTGCATCATACTTTCCAGATGTATACTTGTAGTTGTAATTGTCATCCTTGGTTATTTTAGAATTCTGTGAATACTTTGATAAGTAAAAGTCATCTTCATCTTCTAGTCTTGTAGATTTTCCTCTCCTGTTATCAAGGTAGCTATCGTCCAAAGAATCTGGTTTTGAAAGACTCAAGCTTTCATCTCCATTGGTCAAACTCGATTTCTTTCCATTCTTCAGCACACCCTTCACCGGAGAAGCTGGCCTTCCACTTGAATTGTTCCGGTTTCCTTTTAATGGACTTGGCATCTCCAAATCAAATGACACCGTTTCATTTCTTGGCAGATCAAAAGTTACTCTTTTTGTGTTTTTTCCAGCACCATTTTTGTCATATGCCTTATAATCATGCACATCAGAGGAGGTATAAAACTCACCATTGACGTAATCTTTGTGACTAGATTGATACTCTCCATCCTCAGAGAAGAGTTGTCTCTTGGATGGAAGATCCACCTCCACACCGTACGACGAGGACAACGAGTCATCCATCGCCCGCTTACTGGACAGAGAGGAGCTGGTCCTCAGTGTCGGGTCCTCGAGGCCGTGTCTACTGGAGGACAGCTTGGAGGACGGGTCAGTTTTAGGTTTACCCCTATAGCTGTCTAACTCGGCATTCAGTTCCTCTATCAGCTTGTCACTCTTCTCCAGAGCCTTATTCAGCTGGTTGATCTCTTTCTCGTGAGTTTGGATTTTAGCTTCCAGAGTTGCTACTGTGTACCTGCCATACCTGTAAATAAACCAATCAGTTTGAATAATAATTAATTTAAACTAAAAAGACCTTTAATTGTGTAAAATTAGTCTATTTTTGTAAATTTTCACAATGACAACCCTTATTTTCATTTTCATCTACATTTTTAATGGGGGGGGGGGACTTTAGGTTAAGTATCTTACTACAAACTAGTATGTAACTACTCTGTAACATTCATGACCCTTACTACATAAAAATAGATGCATGAATTAATCCATTTTTTAAAAAGAATTATTTTGGTTTGAAATGATACAAATATAATGTTCCTAAAATATGAAGATAAATGGAAAAATAAAGTCTAAGCCAAATTAAATTGGACAATGCCATGATCAAAATATATATACCACTTTGTCAATGACAAATACTAAAGAAAGGTAAATGACATTTACTACATCATGACTCTTAAGAAAGGTAATATTCTTTCAAAGAGCTAATTGTCTTATTATAAGATAGGTCTAAGAATTAAATACAGTGGACCCTCATTTATCCGGATGCTTTGGTTCCCAGTCAATTTGTCCGGATATGTGAAGCATCCGGATATCTGAATCACTCGTTAAACAAGGCAGAATAACATTTTAAAATTTTGTTCACCAAGAAATACTGTACCACTAACAAATACCCAGTTTTAAATTTCATTTGGTACCAAAGTGCATATTCTAAAGGCAGAGGACTTTTACACCTAAATTCCATCTCATTTTTCTCAACAAGCTCTTGCTATCTTTGTCCCCGTACCTTCTGTAAACTATAAAGCTTTAACATTTATTTTACAGTGCACACATTTTTCTCTATAAGGTTTCTATATCACTGTTTGGGAAGAGTGGCATTCATTTTTATGGTTGACAATTTTGCAATCACTGCAGTCAAGACCAAGCAATGTTTTAGTGATCAGGAGAAGAATTTGCTCTGCACCACCGACATTCATTTTGATTAATGTTAACGCCCTTCTTTGTTCTATGAAAAATGTAAATAGGGGATGATTTTTTTTTGGTTTGGTGTTGTTCTATTACTGCATCGCAGTATTAATTGTCTTTGCTCTCATCAATGAAAATTTACGTGCTTTAAAGTCAAAGACCAGTTTTTAGCCAATCAAAATGTGTTTTACAAACAATAAGAATGAAAATTTAAGGATTTTTTCTTCATAATTTCCTTTTCTTGCTCTCCATGCTTGCTTTGATTATTTATAATTCATTATTTTCTTTTGCTACATTTAAACAGCTATAGAATTCATAGCAAAGATAAAGTTGAGATGGAGACAGTCCCTGGCATTAAGGTCAAGATCTAGTAAATGAAAGATGCCTACAGATTTATCAAATTTGAGAAATAAATTCCTTTAATGATGCTTTATAACTTTAGCTTGCTCAAATAAGGTGTTTGGGGGCATAATTCATTGGTAAACAAGATGAAAAATCATATTTTATATTGTCATTTTCAATAAAAAAAAATTAAGAAAACCAGTCATGAATATGGGAGTTTTTTCCTTATCAGACAAAGAAAATGTATCCAGATCGCCTACAGTCTTTCAGAAAATGGTAATTTGTATGTTATTGACCTTTTCTTTAAAATGTCAAATCTAATATAGGTATCCGGACGACTTTTCATGTGATTTCAAATGCCTTGAGTTATGATGAAACCTCTGAGTTTCAAATGAATGGAAAGAGGGCAGAGCAGTGAGCCATAAAATCAGTTATAAACATCTTGTGATGAAATGCTTATTATGCATCAGATTGCATCCATATAAAAAAAAGCAAAACCAGTTTTATCACAGCATCAAGCATCTTTGCACAGCTGCTGTTGTGTCACATGATAATTCTTAAAATAGAAGTGGGCCTTGTAGATAAACTTCTAAAGTTATAATATAAAATTGTGTCCTTTTATTTTTCACATTTTTTAGTCCCTGACTAGTAAAACAAAAATTTACTTCTGTATGAAAATGATATAAACAAACAAAAAGTGAATATGCTTTTTTTTTTAACACCCCCCCCCAAGAAAAATGAATTAATGACTACTATATGTCAAGTTCATGCCATTGAAAAATTAAATGAATCATCAAAAGTGATACATGTTTAACTTAACTGTATAGTAATCATCTCTGTTTCTTTTTTATAGGTTATTGACAGAATATTGGGAAATATACCCACTCAATTTCTGTACACAGCTGACTAAGTTTGCAAGGAAAGCATCTCAGCATAAACCAAAGGTGGGCATATTTCTCAATACCCAGTTGATAATCTTTTAACTGCAAATTATAATGCCAATTCATCATACAAATAGAATCTTGAATGAAAAATCTACCTGATGATCATCATGTTAAAGGTTAGTCTCCATGGTAGAGACCACCTCTGTGATTCTCTTGTACGGTGCACACCTCTGGGACTTTTATCACATTATAGCCTATCCGTGTGGTGATCAGGTTTTATATTATACTATTAAAAATTGTTCAAAAGGGAGAAATCACAAATTGGAAAACAACTGTAACACTGCATGCTCACTTTTGCTATTTCATTGTCATTTGAAGGGTACAAAACAGTTGTCACCCTGTGCACGAGGGAGACATCACTAATTGTCTCCCTGCATGCAACATGCTCTTAACCAGATAAAGTTTAAAATTCTGAAGGATCAGAACATGTTTTGGCTTATTAGTTACAGCTTATTTACGTTACAATCTTATGCCAAGTCTATTTGGATAACATATTCTATTCTTGTTGTTCTTGAGCATTTACTGTGTGTTTATCTATTATCAGTTTTTAAATTTGATTCCTATTTTTTTGCAGAGATTAAGCTATACCTGCATACATCTCTGATCCAGCTTTCCTGTAGGAATTAATATCTTTCTACAGGTTCTGCCTTACCTATGAGGAGATCTGTTTCCTATTTCTTGTCGCAGCTTTTGATTCTCTCTGTTTAGATTGATGTTTTCGTCTTTCAGTGAGTTGTTCTCCTGCAATATTGTTTGGTAAGAGTCAAAATTAGCTCATTTTTTACCTTTAATATTAAATAACTTAACAAACGAGTATTTAAAAATTTACTCTCTGTATATGCATTTAGTGTAAAAAAATATAAGCAATTGCAAACATTGATTAATTATAATGTATATTATATATTTAAATGGCTTCCACTTGCCTGTTTGACACGACTGAGTTCAGACTTGACTTTATCGTAAAGTTTCTGAGCGTCCTGTAATTTCTTGTTAAGGACCAGGACTCCACTGGTGTCGGGATGCCTCGGATCCTCTTTGGGCCCAAGTTGTTTTGTCCCCAGGTTTTTCTGGACCTGTTGCTGTAAAACTTCATTTTCTGTTCGTAAGAGCTGTACCTCATCTGTAAGTCTTTCAAACTCCTCCTTAAATTATCATAAAAAAAATTATTTTCTTTCTTGCACTTATCTGTGATTCATAATGTCAATATATCAGATTATTTCTGGTTATAAGGCTAAAAGGTGGTATGTAAAAAAAAAAAATAGTCATGTAGTTCACATAAATAAACTAATACAAATCTGGTAATTATAATAATTAATAGTTCGTGATTATATTTCAGATATGCACCAAGGAAGTGATTGATGGAGATCTAAGTCTACAATGTATCATGCCATCCGTTCAGCATTGAAATCAAAGACATCAGAGAGATTTATGCGACTGAAAAATGTTCTTATCAACCCATTTCATATATAAATGTCACTCTTCCTCTCATGTTTGTAATTATTTCTAAAAGTTTTCACAATGCCAATTTATTCTTTTGACCTATTAACTTTTAACATGTCTAAGTTTTCACCATATCTTATCCTACATAAAGTAATCTTTACTTTTTTATCCTCCAGAAAAAGATAGTGTGCAGTTCTTGCTACAACATTGTTACACGCTTGATCCCTATTGGATAAATAACTAAATTTTGAGATTTATGATCCTGTTTTGAAAATGCAAAGTCATTTTTTAGCAATAAATTTCTTATATGATAATAACAACCCCCTTCCCCCCTCCCCAATTTTAATACTCAAAAAACAACAGGCTAGAAAAAAGCAAACATCAATCCAGTATTTAACAAGCTTAAATGCCTAAGTGGTTCTGACCTGAAAGGGGGAGGGGGGGGGGTATGATTTGAATTAACTTGAATTTACACTAACAAAAAATGCTAAGTAACATGTTTCTTTGACATACAGTAAAACTCGTTTAGTACGAACACGGATATAGCGAATTCACGGATACAGCGAAGTTCTTAACAATTCTTTGTAAAATTTTACAGTGATAACGAACTCTGATATAGCGAATTTACGGATATAGCGAACTGATTTTGAGTCCCGCAGAGGTTAAAAATGGTGAAATTTACATCTTTTATAACGAATTTTCAAAATCTCAATATAAGATATGTTGAACTGACTTTATATTAAGTAAGAATTTGCAAATGAAATTTAATTCATAACGAAAACCTTAGTTAGCCAAAGCATGAGTTGTAATAATTGCTTCTCTACCATATTCGAGAGTAATACTTGTAGGAAAATGTGCATATTGCGAATTCGCTATATATAGTTGTACGAATTCGTTATACGGATATAACGAATTACGGATATAGCGAATTACGGATATAGCGAATTAAATTCACAGGTCCCAGGGACAGCTATAACTGAGTTTTACTGTACTGAGGTTTTTTCCCCTATAAGTTTGAACTTTCATGTTAGCCTCATCCTACCCCCAGGGTCATGATTTGAACAAATTTGAATCTACGCTACCTGAGGATGCTTCCAAATAAATATGACAAAACCATGTTTTTGTTGTTCAGGATTAGAAGATTTTTAAAGATTTTTACCATATTTTCCCATTTAACACTGTCTTTGTCCATTGTGGGTCAACCCTATACCAAGGGGTCATGGTTTCAATAAATTTAAATATTTACAACATGAGAATGCTTCCTTCAAAATATGACCAATCATGGCTTTGTTGTTCTTAAGAAAATGTTTTTGAAGATTTTTTTCCATATATTCCTATGTAAAACTTTGACCCCCCATTTTGGCTCCACCCTACCCTTGGGGGGTTTATGATTTGAACAAACTTGAATCTACACTACCTCAAGATGCTTCCTTGTAAATACATATGACCAATCATGGCTTTGTTGATGTTCATCAGAAGATTTTTAAAGAATTTTTTTGTATTTCTATGTTAAACGTTGATCCCCCATTGTGACCCCAACCTATCCCTGGGTGTCATAATTTGAACAAACTTGAATCTACACTAGCAGAGGATGCTAATCCACGTTAGTTTCAACTTTCCTGAATCCTGACCCAGTAGTTCTTGAGAAGAAAATTTATGAAACATGCCACCAAATTTTCACTACCTCTTAATTATCTCTCCTTCATTTGAACAAATTTGAATCCCCTTTACCCATGGATGATTTGTGGCAAGTTTGGTTGAAATTGGTTCAGTGGTTCTGGAGAAGTCAAAAATAAAAAGTTTACAAACAGACAGACAGACGGACACCGGATAAAATGTGATCAGAAAAGCTCACTTGAGATTTCAGCTCAGGTGAGCTTACAAAAATCTGTATATTTTACTGTGAATTCTCATTATGAGAAAGAAGTTGGCACATGTCAAGTTCAATGTCATCAGAACAAAAATAAATTGACATTTCATGTATGAGGTTTTCAAAGTACAATTAGTCAAAAGGACATTCATCTAATATGTTTGCTTTGGTAATGAATATCCAGACACATGAATTTATGACTTCAATTGAAATACTTTTGACATTTATCTACATAAACTTTAATATATCAAGATATCATTGACTTCTTATTTTAATAACATTCTTAATATAACTTATATATTCTTTTATCTACAATATGGACATTTTGTACTCACAAGACAGAGAAAAGTGAAAAGCATTTTAGCATATTTAAAAATGAGAAGAACAGAGTACTAGACTTGAGATTTTTAAATAGTCTTCAGGTCACTGCATCTACCATTGTAGCTTGTTACACTATGGCTGAATTTCACATTTCTTTTTGATATCACCAGATTTACAGTATACATACTGCCAAGACATGTTCGTATTGCAGACCTGTTTCCCCATATCGTTGTCTCTCAGTACCGGGTATTTTTGATTAGATTTGTCCTTGATATTTGGCATTTGCCAGTAAGATTTCAATTTCCAACAATTTTACATATATTAATAGAGAACAACTGCATTTCTAATGACAAAAAACATGGCTTAACAACATTGTCTTTGTCATTTTATAATGTCCACAGCATTTTTGTAACCTGACATCACTCGTGTTTAAAATTTGTCTCTTTTTAGAGTTTAACAAACGTGAAACTAAGACAGATCATAACAAAAACTAACTGCTAAATTCTAAACGGATTTATTTCCTATTTCCGTATTTTCATATTTTCAGCAAAACGTGAGACGTATTTTAGACTAAAAATCGGTAAAAAATACAGCGAAATCGTAAGAGTAAACAGGTCTGGTATTGCCCTGGATCAGTCTATAGAATATAAATATTGACATAAATTTATAACAAGATGTGTTTGTGAAGTTTTACACTATGCACCCTGTGACAACAAAGTTCGAAAAAGCTATTTTAGCAAAAAGGTCACAGTCAAGGTCACAAAGTCATTGACCTTGGTGTCATTTGAAAGAACTTAATTAGTGGAGAATGCATACCAAATATGAAGTCTCTATCTCTAATGGTTCAAAGGTTAAAGTCGACAACAGACAGACAGAACAAAAATAATATGCGCCCCGATCTATCGATCTGGGTGCATAAATATTATCATCAATTGCGGAATGAAAACATTTTGTCGTGAACATGCATATGAAGCCAGCAGTTACTGAATCAGTTCATTATCCCTATTCTTACCTCATACTCTTTGAAGAGAAGATCAAATCTTGCTTTCCTGAGCTCCGGGTTACTCATTTTTTCTTTATCATCAGAACCCTGGCTTACTCCACCTATAGAAATACAAGTATTAACTGTTACTGGAAAATAATCATCAATAATTGAGAGTCTTTATCAAACGACACTAAACCCCTCAACTGAGGAGTATGATGGAGAAGGGTGTAGAATGATACAAGAGGAATATATATATAATAGAAATTGACATAGTATGATTCAAAAAAGGAATATAGTAGGAATTGACATAGTATGATTCAAAAGAGTGAAGTATGATATAAAAAAGGAATATAGTAGGAATTGACATACTTAGTATGATACAAAAAAGGAATATAGTAGGAATTGACATACTTAGTATGGTATAAAAAAGGGATATAGTAGAAACTGACTTAGTATGTTACAGCATGGGAGTATAATAAATATTGACATAGTTTGAAACAACACAGGAGTGGGATAGATTACAGCATCTCTTGTTTTTTATTGTTCATATTATATATACCGGTATTTGCATCCATATGGTACGTTATAATAGTTTTGTCAGTCTCATACATGTACTGTTTATTTTACATGCATTAGCCCCACCTTCGGGTCTGCAGCATTTACTTAGATCACACAAATTTTCAGTTTTTGCTGAATGATCCTTAACTCATAATTAATATCAAGCCAACAGGTTGTCTATTATATAAATGGTGCCTGTTTTGGAGGGTAACAGTTGAAATTGGCACCCCAACCATTGTCATAGCGGAGGTTAATGGTTTTCCGATCAATTTCAACTGCCAAAACAGGTTTATTTTATAATACTGAATGTCTTCTTGATTTAGGATGTCTCGTCGATCATCTTTACGCACGTTTAGAAAGCTTTCAGTTACTGACCTCTTTATTGTTAATTTGATACAAGAGTCCTTTATCAAAAGGTTTTCAGCAAGCATGTCTCGTCTGTTGTTTGTTCTTTTCAAGTAAGCTACATCGGAGACAAGCTTTTATTGACGTCGAGTTCATTCCGATTCTTTCAAATGCGCAACTGACGTTTTGAGAATTCTACGGTGAACCGTACGCGCATTATTTCCACGCATGTGACATTACCGTTGTGTTACCCGTTGCCACGTGTGTTGCTACGGCCGAGGGTAATAGAACGGATTGTTAACTGCGTCTAAACCAATCAAATTGTAGTATTTAACATGAAAGTATAATAAAACTAAATGCTAAAGAGTTATGAAGCAAATAAAATTTTCAGAAATAAAATGTATTTTTCAGTATGATCAACTTTACTTGGGATCTTCTTAATGAACAAAGCTATCATAAAATTCCCAATCTAGACAACAAAAAAAAACAAAACTTAATGCTAGCCTTATTCTAATAAAATGCTGAATGTCTATGATTATAAAATATTAGGGATGTCAACCAGTACCCGGTTAACTGGAGTACTCGTCATCACGAAGTGCTCATCATTATTACAACAGAAATACATTTACGGATAAGCCTCCTATCAGAGCATCTGGTTTCATTTCTATAAGAGTTTACAATGTTTTACAGTCTTCAATTTACTTGTTCATATTTATTTACACTTTTACCGAGTACCCGGGTATTCGATCGGAAAAACGTCTGAGTAACCGAGTAGTGAAAATTGACCGATTTGACATCCCTATAAAATATTATTGTCAGGATCACTTTAGTACATTACTAGTGTCTTCTAGATCCTAATAAAGACCATTGTAACATTCAGTTTTGTTCTCCTTTATTCTGTCTATCTACACACTTTGAAAAAGAACCTGAAAACTTTCTTGAGCATTTCAATTAATGGACAAGAATAATTCAAAGACTTAATCTGTTAATGGACAAGGTACATCTACACTACTTGAAGATGCACAGTCTGATACTAGTTCATTATCTATAATTGCTTAATAACACATCTTTCCACAAATCTTAATTTATCATTCATACTTTATTCATACTTAATTTGCTGGCATATATATGCAAAAGAAGTGTCAAATGTTTATAAATTACTGTACAATGCAATACATATGATATCAAGAGTATTAGTTCCAGTTAGTGGTGACTTTCCGAGACACATTGGTATTTTCTCTTTAAGTCGAATTAGTTTGTCAGGTAATGTATATGTGTGAAAAGTTCTATTTTACATGCTCATAAACTTTCAATTAATTGAAACATATTTCACAATTTCAAACTGCAGAAAACTGAAACACATTTCTTAATTTAGTACCATATATGTTCATAAAAGTAATATATAAGTACAACCATAAGATTTTAGGGAACACTGTCAAATTAATGTTCTCAAATGTACCTTGACAGGCTGTTCATCCATTAAATGAAGATGTAAAAGAGACAGAAGGAAATTTCAAGCCTCTGTTATTTGATTACTTTAACAATTTGCATGGTTAATGTAAGGTATAAACACAAGTTTGTGAACTGACCTTTTACTATATATCTGACCCTATAAATAAAATTGTCTTATAAATCACTGAATCTTGTCAGCAGAAGTTTTGAGAAATGTTCTGAAGCTATCAGTTAGATTTACCAGCAATTTTCTTCACGGGATTTGCAGGATTTATGGGAGTTCTACAGGCAGGACACTGTTTATTCCTCTGTAGCCATACATCCATGCAACCGCTACAGAACACATGATTGTTTGGACATAAAACTGGTTGTTTTACCTGAAACATAAGGGAAGAAATGAGAATTTGGACAAAAAAACTGGCTGTTTTACCTGAAATAATAAAAATTTAAGCCTAAGAATTTGTGTGTCGATGTAAAGCCCTCAATCTCCAATGGTTGGTTGAATAAATTATTGAAAATGCAGTCATCATTTTACTTCAGTTCCTCACATCAAAACATTTTATTATTGTATTTTTTCAGCACTGTGCCCAAACAAAATTCAATCAAAACTTAAAAAAAAATATTGAGAGTTTATACCAAATACTTGATCTTTTATAATTCAAAACACTTACATGTACAATCATATCAATTTTAAGTAATATATATTATAATAAACATTTTTTGTTTGCAAGAAATATAAGTTTTTAGCTGCAGCAAATTTTTCATGATAATACTAATTCCAATTTTTTTTTTCTCTGTTAAGCATCCACCCACCTTTAAAAAACTTAACTATACCTATTAGCAAAACTCACACATGTCAAAAAAATAAAACAAAGACTTTATAGTAATAAAAATGACATAATTCAAAGGATATGATTTTATTTATCTATTTTTCATATTAGAAAGTTATATTCTTCAGCAAAATCAAAGTATAAAATACTTAAACTATTCCAATAAAGACGTACCTCGGTACATATCATACAAATATTTCTAGCTATTGGCAGATTAAATCACAAATTTTGACCAGAATAATCAATTTTGGGATTCCTGATTCTGTGTGTTTTTTCCTGACATGAGGTGTCAAAAACCAAGACCAACATGGAAAAATCTTGGAAAGACCTTACATTATATTACTAAATGTACCTCCATCTCCCAATTTGCCTCATTCTGCAAATTTATTTTCACTAGTAGTGCCTAATTTTATCTTTAAGACATCTTCAGAAAAATTATGGCCGCCCAATGGAAGTATAGATATCAAGTACATGCAGACCTCTAAAATTTAGGCACCAGCTCGACGTGCCTTATAAAAATAAATTTAGACGCTAATGCAAATTTTTAGTCGCCAGGGAGCTTTTATTTAGGCGCCAAATTTAAAAGTTAATAGCAATCAATATAAAAAATGTGACATGACCATTTCTAAAAAAAATCCTCTTTTTAAAACTTTTTTTTGCTTTTCAGAAAATTAAAAACTTGTAAAATATGTGAAAAGTTCTGGAATTCGATGATAGCCGTCAATTTAAAATGGTCGCCAAATTGGCAACATACTGAAAATTTTTAGGCATCAATAAAAAAATTTAGATTCCATGGCGACTAATTTAGTCTCCTATAAAGCCCTGAAGTATGCATATCTTGAAAATATGTGTGGTACCAATGCAGTTTCAACAACCAAAAAAAATAAATCATACATGTCATTTAAACATTATGGCTGATGTCACTACGTACCCTATCTGCTTGCAATCTAGTGTACACTGTACACAGTTATTAATTGATGAATAAATAACTGCAGAACATTAAAATAATATTCATTCACATAATTAATGATTAATCAAGAAGTACATGTATGTTTAATTTAAATATAGCTAAACTCCAGTATCTAAAACACCAATATCTGGAATATCATGGATATGTTGAAGAGATCTTGACTTTTTTATCTTCAGTATCAGACCCTCAATTATCTTGTAAGGAAGTTTGAGATAACAGTTTGACTTATATACTTGCATTTTGATATTATTTTTGAGCTTTTCCTTGTAAATACTATATCCTTGTCATGCCCCAGTAACCATATCTAAATTAATTTAAATTGAATGAAATTAAAAATGTTGTGGGTGACATGGATTAAGGTTGTTGATATCCATTCAGGGTTTTTTTTTAATGAAATTTACCTGTATATGTTTCGTCATATTGAAATATACCTGGTAAGTCTCTGATATTAGGGAAAAACAATTTTAAGAACACTGAGTGTCCAAAAATATACAGATTCTAACAGAGGTACAAGTAAAGAAAATCTGTATATATATGTAAAAAAAATTATTAGAAAGTTAAAATTTGAATTTATTTTATAGTTAGCGTTGGTTGGAGTCGAGTAGCTCTTCACATTAAGAGTCAATCCAGAGCAATCATCTATAAGCAATTGGATGTTTTCTAATACATATCTTAGCTGCATTGATGTAACCCTTTCTTATTTGTTCCGACATAAATTCTTTTTTTCCTTTTTTTTTTGTGATGGAGAAGGTTCTCTCCTGAAAACATCACATAAAAATTCGGACAGGGCTACTTTATTTCAGATGTATCATGATGAAAAGAAATAAAAACATGGAAAAAGGGAACTAACTTAATATCAGATATTGTGACTAAATCTCATTTGAACAATTGTTTATTTAGTATTAAACTCAATTTATGTACATGTATACTAGTTTCTACTCAATTCTATGGATATATATATATCCTTGAGAAAACATAAAATTTAGGACACATTCTTGATAATTAATACAGAACACTTTATAGACTAGAAAAGTATTCTGAAAATGGTGATTTCAATGTCTATTATTTAGAATGTAGTATTTTATCTTTATACTGATTATCTTTTATGTGATAAATACCAGAATTTTTTACAACATATTACATTTGTCCAAAAATTTTTGGAAATACACTTAAAATCATAGTAAAAATTGCATTAAAAAAATATAGTTTTTATTTACTTTTTTGGAAGGGGGGAGGGGGGGTTCCATATTATGTCAGTGTGACAATACAATTTTTCTTCTTGCAATACTATAGTAGTATTGCAAAAAGGAAAATTGTATTGTGATATAATATGGACACCCCTCCCCCTTCCAAAAAAGGAAATAAAAATGGTAATTTTTTTAATGCAATTTAGAAGCATCGAATTCCTCAGGTAGTGTAGATTCAAGATTGTACAAATCATGATCCCCTTGGGGTAAGGTGGGACCACAATGGGGGATCAGTATAGTAGAAAATAGTTTATTCAGAATATAAGTTTGGGAAATACAGCTCATCAGTTTACAAAATAACCAGAAGTCTCTGATGAGACTGTAGCTCTACTGGTCTGTACGTATAACAAAGGAAAAGTAACACTTGGATTTGAAACTTTGCAACAAGCAGCAATAAATAGAATTATGTATCTTAGTGTAGTCTACTTGTGTGCCAAGTTAAATTGAAATCAGAACAAAACTGTTGGAGGAGTAGTGTTTTAAAGGAATTTCACTGAAATTTATATTTTCAGTTAACACGGCAACATCGTTCACCGAAATCAAAAACCGATGCACTAAATTTTGTATCTTAGTGTATTCTACTTGTGTGCAAAGTTATATTGAAATCAGACCAAAACTGTAGGAGGAGTACCATTTTAAAGAAATTTCACAGAATTTTTTTTAGTAACCATGGCAACACCATTCATCAAAATCAAACATAGGTAATCAAAGATTACGAAGCTCACCTCGACGAATGTTATCAGTTTAAGTAATGCAAATCTCACATCATATTTTCTTAATATTTAGTATTCATCCCAACAACAATATTCTTGCAAGTCGTGTTAAACCCCTTACATGGCATATACACATTTCTAAGCCTGTAGCATGAAAAATATGCATATGTATAGTGTAAACAAATATTCATAACTGTTAATACTGCATATATATGGTCTTCAAGTTCATTCGGAATCTGTTCCCAAAACTTTAACCAAGTCTCTTGTATGGAAAATATAGGTCAGATCCAGCATCCGAAGCAAGTCTGATAGTGTCCATCCTTAGATGCATCATCCATGCAAGTTTGGTTAAGCTAGGGCTTATAGTTACTTGGGAATGAAAATGTAGGTGCATTGCATGTAAGCAAGTCTGGTAGTGTCCATCCCTAGATACATCATCCATGCAAGTTTAGTTTAGCTAGGGCTTATAGATACTTGGGAATGTAAATATAGGTCAGATCTTGCATCCGAAGCTAGTCTGGTAATGTCCATCCCTAGATGCATCATCCATGCAAGTTTGGTCCAAATAGGGCTTATAGTTACTTGGGAATGAGAATGTAGGTCAGATCCAGCATCCGAAGCAATTGTCTGGTAGTGTACACTCCCTAGATGCATCATCCATGCAAGTTTGGTCCAAATATGGCTTATATATGAGCCTGTGGAATGGACCTGCTCCAAAAACTTTAACCTGGTGCAACTCATCTGGAAAATGTAGGTCAGATCCAGCATCCGAAAAAGTTTGGTAGTGTACATCCCTAGATGCATCATCCATGCAAGTTTGGGAATGGACCTGCTCCAAAAACTTTTTCCTGGTCACTCATCTGGAAAATGTACTCAATCAAATAAACAAATTTTAAATATATTCTGGTAGTGTACATCCCTAGATGCATCATTCATACAAGTTTGGTCTGGGTAGGGCTTATAATTCCTTGGGAATGGACCTGCTCCAAAAACTTGAACCTGCTCCAAAAACTTTAGCGTTTTAAAGGAATTTCACAGAAATTTCTATGTTTAGAAACCATGGCAACACTGTTCATCGAAATCAAAAACCGATGCATTTTTTATGTATCTTAGTGTAGTCTACTTGTGTGCCAAGTTATATTAAAATCAGACCAAAACTGTAGAAGTACCGTTTTAAAGGAATTTCACAGAAATTTTTATTTTTAGTAACCATGGCAACACCGTTCACCGAAATCCAAAACTGATGACTATTTTATGTATATTAGTGTAGTCTACTTGTGTGCCAAGTTATATTGAAATCAGATCAAAACTGTAGGAGGAGTAGCAAATTGAAAAATTGTTTACAGACAGACGGACAGACAGCTAGACAGACAGACGGATGGATGATGGACGCATTACTATCGCATAAGCTCTTCTGGTCTCTGACCAGTAGAGCTACCAAAATGTACATGTTAAATATATTTCAATGACTCTGAGCCTAAACTGGGAGGTGAAACCCCCCGGTCTTGAAAGTGTTCCTCAGGCCCACTAACCCCTATGAACATTGATTATTTTGCAAAATGAAATGGCAGATCTACTGATTGAGACACCTGCAAATTTAAATTGTAAATGTATTTTTAAAATCCAGAATTTAACAACCATCTTTTCACCTCATAGGTTTTATTATTTGACATGTGCTGTAATAAATTAAAGTAAGAGAAAATTTCTGATTTCAATGCATATCTCATGTTATGGAAAAGTGAAACCCTCCAAAACTTTAGGTATAAGTTGCATTTCTCTCATGTATAAAAATGCAAATTAATTCAAAATCCTTTAATAAGCACAACTTCCAACGGAATGAAATCTTTACATACATCATGCTAATTTTTATGTGAAACATTCCCAGAATTTATTATAATTCATACCCAATGTCCTTTGCACGAATAAATAAATAATAACGCAGTGCTCCAAGCTGCGACTAAAACGCGATCAAAAAAAAGATTTTGCGACTAGAAATGAAAACACACTCGCATTTTCGCAACTGGGAAAATTTGGGCTGGAAACGTCCATTTTTAAGATCAAGTTCGAGATTTCATTAGTCAAGATTCTCTATCAAGAAAATGTTTGAAGACATATACTTAATTAATTAAATACACTTTACAAAGCGTTGCATAGACTTAGATCATGTAATGTTATGGCAGCATGCTGTACAAAGTTTTATAGAACCAGAGACGTGTATAAATAATGTTCCTGATAGAATGGCATCCAAACTTCGTAAAATTTCTAGGACCCGACCTTGTTATTGAAGCGTTTGGTCAATTGCTTGCATATCACAATGAATCATGCTAATAAAGAGTGTTCTGGAGGCATTTATAATGACTGTGTAATGGGTTAGGTACGTAGTTGTAAGTAAACGTGACAAACAGCAGGCAAAGTCCTGTCTCAACAGCTGTCAAGCTTGTATTTTCATTTGATAAAATTTTATTTCTTTAATCAGATTACTTGCGTTCTTCTGTGTACTGTACAACAATAAGGGTACATGTATTTAATAAAAATATTTCCTTCAATCTAGCAAATTGTTTATAGTCATAGTAATAAGTAATCTTTGATTTAATAAAGACATAATACATATCCTTATTTAAATTATCAAGTTTTATTCACAAAATTTATTTTTTTCATGGCGAGTGAAATATTTGATTATACCCAATTCTGTGGCCTTTGCACGAATAAATAAATAATAACGTCAAGCATAAAAGGCTTTCACTTTGTAAAAATGTTTCAAAGAAACAAAAAATAAATCTGCAATGTTTTTCTACTAAAACTGCACTAGTTCTATATAGTTTAAACCAGACGCTCGGCTGTCTCCATAAGCTCTAACGAGCTCCGTGACTTCGTGTGACGTCACAGCTAGTTGAAATGTCTCGTGTGGCTTGATGTATGAAGTGGCTTATCAATTTTTCAAGTGTTTTTGATGGTACAACTGCACTCTCCCCAATGGTAACACCGTAAAACATATTATAACACCGTAAAACATATTATATGTCATTGATGTGCACAGATAAAAAGTCACACCATAGAAGATTTTCTTGAACATTTTCTAAATGAAGCTTTTTTTTTTTTTTTTTAAAATATACAGTGATAACACTCACTGAGCTGAAAACTACAGGAGTGGCTTGATCAAATACAATTGTACATTGTACAAAATTTACAATATAAATTAATGTTAGCAAATGATGCCAAGTTACAATGATGTTACCTAGTAATCAATTTATCAAAATATTCAGCTTAAATTTGTTAAAAAAAAAAAATCAATGCGCCGAGCTTTAAATCAATTAATTAAAGACAATAAGCGAGTCTACATTACACGTGAAAAAACGAGTCCTTGGAAACCACTGCTTAACCTGCTTGTTGTAAATAACTGCACTAATTTTTGACATTTTTTGTCCTATTGTAATTGAAATCACAAATATACTATGTATACATACCTTTCCCAAGCATATTTGGCAGGAAATTGGCAAAGTAAATGCTATTGTTTGGTACTTGTCCTGTCTTGCTCTCACGTCAGCCGCCATCTTTTAAACTGCAAGCGGAAGTGGCGCATTAATCGTGTACACAATAGAAGGTATCCGATAATGAGGCTAAATTTTACCAAAGATAGTTTCATATAATGAAACTCCAAATCATAAATTCTGAATGTTCTTCAGCCGTATAAATTGTCCTTGTTTAAATATTATCTCTTTAAAATCTACTTTCATGCTCCGCGCTTTAAACTGAGTTCCAAGGCACTTCCGGTGATGAAATGATAATTGTTCCACAATTTATTCGCACAAATTGGTTCCTCTGTGGCATAGTGTTTGCAATTTGTTTAGCTAGTGTTGCACCAAGTGTTGGAGCAAAAGGAGGTTGTTTTTTCAACTCGTCTACATTCTAAAATTTTTGAATCATTGAAACAACATCTTTCAACAGCTGTTTCACACGTGGACCACAGAAGTTTTCATTTTTACGTTACATGTAATCGATTGAATTAAGTCAGTAGAAAGCACTCGATTGTTCAAGCCATGAGCTATGCGTTAGCTATCGCTATGCTAACGCATAACTCATACGCCTCATAGCTTGGTCAATCGAGTGATTTCTATTTATTTTATTGATAAAATTAAGAACTCCTGGACTTGATCATGTTGATTAGTGAATATGTACAGCACCTGAAAGGTTCTTGTGTTCAATTGAGAACCTTTTCGTTTATATAAGAAAAAAACCCAATTCTTTTATATTCATTCATATAAATTTTAATCTATATCTTAAAAAATTACCTGAATTCAGATTCATATATTAAACATGTTAAAGTTGATAGACTGTATCGATCATTATTTCTGAATCCAAATATCAGAAAGTGAGTGTCATTTCACCCTAAAAGCAGAACTCATGCATGAGCCCACCCAAGTTGCTAGGGATGATGAAGAACATGCATGAACACCCCAAATTAGTTGACAAATGCCTCAAATACAGTTTGCATCATATGCCTTGAATACATGTAACTGAATTTCCAGTCTGTTATAATTAATAAGTATACTCACAAGTCTCTGCATGTCTATAAATAGGCCATTGTATGATTGATCAGGGTGATAAGTATATCCGCTCTAAAATGAACAGAGACAGGTTGTGCCTCCGCTTGGTTTTGAACCCACAACCTCTGACTTTCTGAGTGACCAGTGCTCCACAAATTGAGTTTAATTAAGGGTTATTTTACCAGACTAATTGCCCTAAGCTACAGTAGGAAGCAATCCATCACACACAGCCACATATAGAGAGGGTATAAATATCTCTCTTTTGCCAAAGTTTTACCAAAATTTAACCTTGCCATAACTTTTGAACAGATAGTACAAGGGCTTTCATATTTCACATGTACTAATTGATATTCCTTGAGACAAGGCCATTATTTGGGTACAAACATTTTTTATCTCTTGTCCTTGGAGTTTGATTGTAGTTGATAAACTTTCACCTTTGTCATGAGCTGTTAAAAGTTTCACAGATCCATCTTGTTTTTTGAAATTAAAAAAAAAACATATGTAAGTAAAAGAAAGATATAAATGTACATGTATTCAGACATTAATTTGGAAGTGGCAAACGGAGAAATCTTTCATTAAATGGGCACCATTTCAAATCCATCATATAAATATTCTGCTGCAACAACCTACTATTTTTGTTGAGAAATATTAATATGGCAATTTGTATAAATACAGTAATGGATTTTTTCCCCATTAGTCTATGCCCAAAATCAATGAAATTATCCTTGAATTTGTACAAAGAATAAAAATTACATGTCTTGGATATTATTACTTGTGCAAGTTAGAGTAAAAAAAGATTAAATATATTGTTATGACTTAAATTTTTAGGTTCAAATAAATTATGTACATATGATTTTGGTGATCCACAATTTAAATGAGACTAAAGTGAATATTTATTAGTATATTTTACAGTTTTATTAGAGGATAATAAGAGTATCTGTTTTGTCTTTAGGCATTCTCAGACCAGAAATAACAGTCAAATTTATTGCTGTAGCCATCATCTTCTTTAACAGTGGGATATCATTGAGGAGTGAGGTAATTTTCAACAGTGAGGCTATGGGATATCAGTGGGATATTACTGAGGAGTAATGTAATTTTTAACATTGGGATATTACTGAAGAGTGAAGTGACTTTATCAGTTGGATACTGTAGAAACATAAATTTTTGTGGGGATGAAATTTCGTTGATTTGCCATCAAAATTAGTTTCGTGGGCATTTAATTTTGTTGTTGTGAAAGTACTGAAAGGTATTATATTTAGCGTGTACAATATTTGGCGGAAATTGATTTTTGAACAAGTTAGCATAGATTTGATTTAGCACATTTCTTAAAGTTCTTATTAATGTACATGTATATATGTTTAAGACATTTAGCATTGTACTTGAATTAGCGGAAGTTTATTTCCGCCAAAAACGCTAAAAAGAATACACCGCCAAATATAATTCGTTTACAGTAACCCTATTCAATATATAGTCATATAAAATTTCGTGTGGGATTTCATTTTGTTGATAATTGTTAACACCGAAATAAACAAAATTTAATCCCCCGGGAACATTTGTGCTTTTACAGTATCACTGAGGAGTGAAGTAATTTTTTTACAGTGGAATATTTTTGGGGACTGGGGTAATTTTTATCAGTGGAATATCACTTTAACAGTGAGGTTATGGGATATCACTTGGATATCAATGAGAAGTGAGGTCATACCAGAACAGTAGTATTAAGGTTGTATTATCTATCATTTATAATTGTAAGACTTGACCAGAACTTAAGTATTAAACTGTCCATTGTTTGTTGCAGGACTTGACCAGAGAATTAGTATAAAAGTTGTCTTACCTTATGTTTGTTGTAGGACTTGACCAGGGGCCCGTTTCACAAACGTTTCCTAAGATATGTCGTAAGACATAACTTAAGATATGCCTAAGTTATAACTTAGGAAGTTCCTAAGATTTGTCACAGCTGTTTCACGAAACAATCTTATCTTAAATTTTTCCTAAGTCGTTTCTTAAGTTGTGTATAATTTAAAGACTAATGAATAACCTCTCCGCTCTATCTACAACTCTCAGTATGTTAGTATGGGTTATATTTTTAGCTTAAAAAAGGGAGGGGCGGGAGGATTGAGGTTACCCCCACTTTCAAAGGACTTGGACAGAAGTATGTTTTAACTTTGCGAAGTTTGCTGGTAGAACTAAGCATTCACAGACACACCCTTTCAAGCCTTCTTCCCTTCCGGGCACCCGATACTTGTATTTTTTAAACATTGTTCTACGTGTTAAACGTTTAATTTATTTTGCTCTTTATAGGGTATCTAATTGTAAATGAAATTCAAAAATGATTGCTTCGTTATAAACACATGCACATGTGATGGCATTCTTAAAAAAATATGACTACTCAACGTTAGTTATTCGTGCTGTATAAAGCTTTCTCAAATATATAAAATAAGAATGCCACGCCAGAAAAAAAGTCCCAAATTCTTGACTACAGATATGAAAATACTGAAAGAAGAGGTTAAAAGGAAATCTATTGAAATCTCATGCATAGCTTGTTATACATTGTATAAAGCGGAGAGGAAGACTGGTTGTAACCTCATGGTCTTAAGAACTGACGGAGCATAGGAGGAGGGGGGGGGGGGGGTAATAATAATTTTACCGATGTATAGAAATAAAAATGCGTTATGCTTGTGTCCCCTCAATAATAACGTCCTAGAGGAGATTAGATGGAACCATTCTTGGAAGAAACATCTATATATCCGGAGCTTGGTTGGTGGTTCCTCAAAAATCATGTACTTATAGAAATAGATTAAAAAAAAAAACATAATGTATACATGCATGTATAATAATGGATCAAATCATGTGCTAGTTTTTTGTTTACCAAGACGTGCTCTTCAAAATGATGGGGAATTATTCCAGCATGTGTACATCTATTTCGCCAGCCCCAGTTTTGTGAACGGACATTTTCATATACTTTTGACTAATTTTGACACATGTTTGCCAATTATTGAAATCCTAGTACTGAGTAATTTCATGCAAAGTAAAGCAGTTTTAACCTGGAGAGAACGTAATCATCCATTTACCCCACCTCTGTTGATTTTTCCATGAAATCCTGGCTTACGATTGGTTAAAGTCTGTCACGTGAAGGCGGTGGATTACTTATACCCGGTCAGTTGCAAATCTATACCCGGTCAGTTGTAAATCTATACCCGGTCGATGTATTACGTCACAGACACAACGTGACGTCATAATAGGCACAGTATAAGCGTGGTGAAGCATTTAGCAGAGAAAATCATTTATAAACCACAGATAAAACGTAAATGTTTCATCGGTGGGGTAAATTCGTTACATAGTCTTTTAGTGACAGGGTATGGGAAAGTTAGTAAATTTCATACCTTATGGCTCCGCCTCGCCAGGTATGAAATTTACTAACCAGGTATCATCCCATACCCTGTCACTAAAAGACTATGTAACTAATAATACTTAGTCCATTGGATTTTCTAACCCCAAACACATTCTTTCTCTCCATAAGAAATCTTGGATATGAAGCCGCAATATTTAGTTTCCTCCTAAGTCATCGATTTACTTGTTCTAAAGTTACGACATAACTTAGACATATCCTAAGATAAGACGAGGTTAGTGAAACGGATAAGTAATGAACTTAGAAAAAAGTTCTTTCCTAAGATAGAACTTAGTCCTAAGTAGGCTTTGTGAAACGGGCCCCTGAGCATTAGTATAAAAGTTGTCTTCCCTTATGTTTGTTGTAGGACTTGACCAGAGCATTAGTCCAGTACAAACTCCACTTCTTTGTTCAAGGATGGACATTCCTGGTTTTTCCCTTCCTGATAAATATTTTGGTATCTGTAATGAGAGATGGACCATTTGATAAGCTCCTTCTACAAGGGTACATAAATTGATTAAATAAAACTAATAATTCTTTGAATGACATGGTCAAAGAACCATAAAAATGTCATAGCATAGCATTCATGAATTTCATGATTCAAGTACATGTACTGAAAATGAAGGTTCCCTCACTAAAAAATACTAATTAATATTAACCATTAAAAAGAACTGTATATTTATTATTCTGAGTGACAATTTTTATTTGATGACATTCTTAAAACTTTTATAAATTGATTTGTTTCTCAGACTGTTGGTTCTAGGCTGTAATTACTTACAGTATTTTAATTTATTTTTCAGACTGTTGGTTCTAGGATGTATGCCTCCTCCAGTGTCATCAGCAGTCATACTCACAAAGGCAGTGTCTGGAAATGAGGTTATTAATTACTCATTGTTAATTGCTAAGTCAATAATCATAGTGATTTAAGCAAACTATGTTATATAGTCCCTCTATAAAATGTATTGAAATAGTCAAATAGAAAAGTTCATAACATTAATATTGGTCAGATGAAACATTCCTCAATAATTTTTATTTTTTCCCCCAAAGAATCTTTGATAAAAGTTTCACTACTTTTACTTAGCTTCCTCACAAAATCCCAACGTTCATAATCATGCATTTGTGCAAGATTCCAGAGAGTGGTACTTTCTATTTTCATTCTGGAAATCACTTGAATCGCTGTTATTATGATTTTTGCATAGAAATCAGCTGTGAATGACAATTATAAATATTTTTTGTGTATTACACAGAGATGCAAAACTCTTATGTGAAGAATTATTTGTCTTAACATAAAATTAAACCTCATTCTGGATAAAAATATTGAAAACTTGTGTAACCTGCTGTTTTCGGGGCAACTTTGAAACATTTTGAGCAAATCTGATCTTAAATTAAAATAATTTTAATGTGAATTTAATATATTTTATCAATTCATTATACTTCTGACCAGTTTTAAATTTGGTCTCCCATTCAGGCCCACCATGGCCATAAGGCTATAGTTTATGTTCAAACTAAAATATTCCCTTTTTACCATCCTTTTGGGCTTGCAATTTAGAGATTTACTTAAAAATGAATTTTCAATATTTTAGGCAGCAGCAATCTTTAATTCTGCAGTGGGGAGTTTTGTGGTGAGTGATTTACATGCTTTGTCCTCTAAGTTCTATATATACAGCTTGTCAGTGTAGTACACCTTATAATTATTAACCTCAGAGCAAACTCTTTTGTGGGTTAAGTTATTTTTTTTTTCATTGCCTGAAAATAATGTTCAAGGAGTGGGAAAGTTCAAATACTATATAATGGGTATTTTCTGCAACTGGAAATTTATGTGCATTTACCTCTGAAAGGTAAATTATATCTGTCCATCCATTACACTTTGTGTTAAACACAATTTCAGTTTCAAAGTGACTTTACAAAATATTTTTTTCATAACTCTTTTACTATCACATATAAGTAGGCATTTTCCAACTACTTTATTAATTTCTGACCTTGACATTTCTATTGACCTTATCCTCACTCCTTGTGACCTTAGTCTCCCCTATTTAATACACTTACCTCAATTTTAAAGAGACAACTCGAGATAATTTTCATCAAAAATTGTACACCGATACATATCGATGGAAAGTTTTCAACAATTTCAAAGTTTTCTGAGACTGTTCTTCTCTATGACCTTGACCTTACTGTTTTGGGTTTCGTAATTTTTCTTAATTTCAAAGAAACAATTTAAAATATTTTCATCAACTCTCTTACAAAGATGCACATTGTTAATAACTATCAATTGTGTAAAAAATTTCCCACCTTGACCCTTTGTATGACATTAACATTAATTTTTTTTTTATTTATTGTCCCCCACTTTCGCGAAAGCGAGGGGACATTAAATCTCATTCGTCTGTCCGTCAGTCTGTCCAGCTGTCCGTCCGTCACAAAAACTTTAACCTTGCCCATAAATTTTGATTTAGTGGAGCTATGACTTTCATATTTCACATGTGTATTCCTTGTGACAAGACCTTTCTTTGGGTACCACCAAATTGATCTTTTGACCTTGACCTTGGAGTTTGACCCACTTTTACACAAGAATTCCAAACTTTTACTTTGGCCATAGCTTTTGAATGGTAGGTACTAGGACTTTCATATTTCACATATGTCTTCTTTGTGGCAAGGCCTTCCATTGGATACCAACAACTTTGACCTTTAGACCTTGACCTTGGAGATTTACGTACTTATGAAAAAACTTTAACCTTGACCATAACTTTTGAACGGTTAGAGCTAGGGTTTTCGTACTTCACATATGTAATCCTTGTGAGAAGACCTTTCATTGAATACCAAGAACTTTTACCCATTGACCTTGACCTTGGAGTTTTAAATACTACTTATTAAAAACTTTAACCTTGGTCACAACCTTTGAACGGTAGATAGTAGGACTTTCATATTTCAATTATGTATTCTTTGTGGCAAGACCTTTCATTGGATACCAACAACTTTGACCTTGACCTTGGAAATTTATGTATTTATGGAAAAACTTAAACCTTGACCATGTTTTTTGAATGGCAAGGACTAGGGCTTTTGTACTTCACGTATGTAATCCTTGTGAGAAGACCTTTCATTGGATACCAAGAACTTTAACCCTTTGACCTTGACTTTGGAGTTGACCTCTTTTAAAAAACTTTAACCTTGGCCATAACTTTTGCATGGTTAGAGTTAGGGTTTTCATCCTTCACATATGTATTCTTTGTGACAAGACCTTTCTTAAGAAACCAACAACTCAGACCCACTCACCTTGGAGTTTGACCTACCTTTCCAAAATTTATCCTCGACTATAACTTTTGAACAGGTGGTGCTAGAGATTTTGAATTTCACAATCATATTTCTTGTGAGAAAAACCCTACTTTGGGTAATAATATATTTAATTTGCATTTAAGAAAATTTTAATCTTCGTTATGTTGCCATTCAGGGTCATCAGTGTTTCACAAACACATCTTGTTCCTTATATTGAGAAGAGAAAGGGCTTTCATATATGACATGTGCATTACCTGTGACAAGTTAATTCCAAGCATGCTATGATTTCTTACCCCTTGACCTTGACCTTCACGATTGACCTTATTTTTAAAAAAAAAAAATCAATGACATATGATAGGGTGTTCATAATAGACACAATATGTCATAAAAAATAACATCTCACCCACAAAGACACCAAAAGCGGGGGACCACAATTCTTTGAATTTGCATGTTTGAATCCAGCACAGATGAAAAGAAACTTCATACTAATATTTTCATCATCCTTTATACATTAACAAAGATCTCAAATGTTAGAGCAAACATTAATTAAACAATGTCATATTGTTAAATTTAGTTTATCTCTATTGTAATTTTCAGACCTTTCTTATGATTTTGACCTTTCCATAACCTTGCACTTCATTTTGAAGGCTTACTAATCAAATTTATTATACTATTGGTGAGAGAAAGCCAATTCTATAATTATTATCTTGTCATATTTTACCAAATAATTTTAACTTTAGGTGCAGCTTTCATTAGGACTTATGGACATATCTCTACATATCTTAGGTCTTTAAATGATTCATTAAACCAAATTCGCAGACAACTATGGGAATTTGTGCATCGATTTTACTTTCCTGTCACAGGAAATTTTTCAGAAGCACCATGCCTTTAGCTAATAATTCTTGTTCATTAAAATCAATAAAACATAGTAAATTAATTGATAAGAGACGTGCTAGGTTTAATTAACACAATGTGTCAGTATTAAACACTGACAATAGAAGAGGGACGACAATCTGACAGATACAACAAAATAAAATAACAGCATCAAACTCTGAATCAAGATATGCAATACCTAGAATGTAAATCATGTGACATTAAACTCCTGAAACTTATTTCATTTAAGATGAAAATTTATTATTTCTGTTAGGTAAAGTATCTAGAATACTGTAGCCAATTGTTATTTGTGACATTTATTCTTGATTCAGTTTAAATTCCTTTGTTACTATTCATATATGCAACTGAACTAAGTAACATTCGACATACTAAATTTAATTCTATTTGTATCACATCATTTGATTGGTAAAAAGATTTATTTTATATCATATACCGTAACATAAGTTGCCTTCATCACAATAAGTTACGTCAAAAACGTATTACTTGACATTACTTTTAAAATATTTTGGAGGGAAAATTGTCTTATTTTCTACTCTGAAATTAAATTATAAGAATTGAAGCTTATTTTAACCTATGTTTTATGATTTAACATTACTTGGTCAGTTTACGCTTTTTCATAAATTGCTTCATGGTTTATAGAGCCTAAACTAATTAAGGAATCACTGTCTAGTTAGTGTAGTATGCCAGGGCATCAACGATAGTGGGAAACATGGGATAATTTGCATAACGAGCGAAGCCTGTTATGCATTAACTCCCATGCCAATTTCAATAGTCCTCGCCCACGGACGTCAAAAACAAAGGCAGCCGCAAGAGATTTACATGCATATTTGGCCTCCTTAGCGTCAGACACAGAGACAGATGTGCACGAGATTTGCATGCATATTAAGCCTCCTTAGCTCCTGACCTATCGACCTGCTTAATTTACATTCCAACAGAATTATCAAGAAATCAACTCCGCTAACTTTCAATGAGTTATCACAGAGAAAAAAATTAGAAATGGAAGTATTATGTTATATCGTATTACATAGGTTAGAATAAGCTTCATTCCTTTAATAAAATTCAAATTTCAACTGTAATTGAGAGATGTTTTTGAAATTAAAATTAATGTCTAATTTAATGACAGAAGGGCTAATTCAGAAACAGTATGTAAATAAAATTTGGGTAAAGAAATATTTGTTTTATTTGTAGGGAATATTTGTTACACCATCTTTGATACTACTCAATGTAAGTGATCTATTTAACTCATTTCAAATCCATGATACTGATCTAATTAAAGACTTTTAATAATGTGTTTTAGTGATTAACATTAATGAGTGTAAGATTTGTGGTAAGACCTATTCTCATAACAATTGACCTTGACCTATTTTATACTCCTAGGTGGGGTCAGCTGTGGATGTACCAGTCAGTTCTATTTTTGTACAGCTGTCCCTGACGGTCGTAGCACCCCTGTTTCTGGGTCAGCTGATCAGGAGGCAATACAGAATCTGGTTAGAGAGAAATCCACTTCCTCTCGGAAGCATAGGCAGGTACCAGGATAAATGACAACATTATATCAAGGTCAACTTTATTTTCTTGTCAAATGATCAAGTTGAGTAATAGTTTGACATCATTACTTACTTTACCACCTTTATGATTACAGTGCGGTACTTCTGCTGATCATTTACACCACATTTTGTGATACCTTTTCACATGCTGAGATTAACCTGGATTTCCTCAGTCTAATTTCCATTGTCTTCCTCAGTAAGTACATCTCTTTTCATAGTTTATTTGATAGAATTGTATTTTTTTTTAGTTTTGCATGGTATTTATTTTTGTATTTATCTGTTTCAGGAGTAGATATGTTGTGAACTACATGTATTATATTTTGTAGTATTAACTCCAATCTTTTTTGCTGTTCATGTTCCTCTGATAAGAGAATTTACTCCCAATGGTATAACTGACAAATTGTGAAGTACATATATATATATACTGTAATGTATTAAATTTGGCTGTGCTTTAGGGGAAAGAGACTTCCGCTAATTCAAGTACAACTCTAAATGTCTTGCACATATACTCATAAATAAGGACATAAATAAATGTGCTAAATCAAATCTTCACTAACTTATTCAAAAATCAACTTCCGCCAAATATAATACATTTAAAGTAATATACATGTAAAGGGAGGGGGGGGGGGTGTCAGCCCCAACCCCAGCTTTTCAGAGTTATGCTTTTTTGTAGACAAAGTAATAAAATTAATGAATATATTAGTTTTGGTGTTCCTACATTTAGTCCTCACTGTTTCAGTTGTAATCCTCCAATGTGGACTGCTATGGATGGTGTTCTTTGTTACTACACGTCCTTGGCTGAACTTTGACCCTACGGATACCACCGCCCTGATGTTCTGTAGTACCCACAAGTCACTCACCCTAGGTCAGTGTCTAAATCCATTCAGACATACCAGTACATCAATACCCTAACTAATATGAACAAGAGGCCCAAGGGCCTTGAATCGCTCTTCTGATAAATTATACAATCTATCCTAAGACCCAAGATGCATCAACTGACAAAGTTTGATGATTCTTAGCCAGTTAGGGCTGTAGATATTTAAATGTAACTATAAAATACTAGGGCTGCCACGATTAACCGAAATATCGGTTAACCGCGATTCACAATCTTTCGGTTCGATTCGGTTCGTTTTTCCGGGATTTCGATTCGATTCAGGTTTGATTTTTTCATACTAACATCTGCTGTTGTTTAGCGCATTCTGATTGGTTAATCTGAAGAAATGATGGCAAATCATTATAAAGTAAACAAAAACACGAAAATGGTGGCGAAGAAGTCGACGGAGGACTACTCATAGTACTCCCAAGTTGCATTTTCGACAGAAAGACAGCACAGAGGATAAGTGGATTCACTAAAAGGCAACACCCATCAGCCACGTAATTCTGAATTTAGAGGAACCGACACCGTGCTGCGAATGTCCTTATTTCTTTTTAATATTGACATCGTTTTGAAAGTGAAATTAATTATTGACATTCTTGTTATGACAGTAATGTGTTTAAGTGGTTTGGTATCGTATTGGTGAATAAAAAAAAAATAAATCACAGCAGAGATCTAACCGTTCCTATTGTGGCAAATAGCAAAACACCAATACTTTTATGTTGAGCATAATATGCAATCATTGATTTTGTTTGAAAGATTTGTTTGCATGTTTCATCTTTTAAAACCAATGAACAGTATTTTTAATAATTTGTATTTCGGACATTTGATTCTTGGGTCATACTTTGTAATTAGAACATTAAGTATTTTCTTTGTTTTCTTGGCTTTACATTCCAATTTATCTTAATAAATCCTTAATAAATCCTATAAAAATATGAATTATTTATAACTATTTATTATTTATTAGAATGTCTTAAGATCATGATGATAAAACATTACAGATTTTAAACAAAAAAGAGAAAAAGTTCTATTTCTTATAATCGAATCGAAATTATTCGAAAATCGAGGTTTTTGTTTGAACCGAATCGATTCGAAAATTTTCTGATTCTTGGCAGCCCTATAAAATACTATAAGTAGGTCATGGTGACCTACTTTTTGATTGAAATTTTCTGAGGACACAAGATGCATTAATTGACAAAGATTGATGATTCTAAGCCAATAAGTACTTGAGATATTCAAAAGTGGGTCACAGTGACTTACTTATTGGTCAACATTCTTCGAAAACCCAATGTGCATAGCCAATAAGTACCTGAGATACTAAAATATAGCCATAAAATGTCAAAAGTAGGTCACTGTGACCTACTTTTTGGTTGTTTTGAAAACCCAAGATGCATCAACTGACAAATGTTAATGATTCTAAGCCAATTAGTACCCGATATACTTAATCCTAGCCATAAAATGTCGAAAGTAGGTCACAGTGACCTACTTTTTTTTTTTTAGTTTTGCATGAAGACCAAAGATGCATTAACTGACAAAATTTGATGATGATAGGTCTAATAGTATTCATACTATGCCTTTTAAACAATTTGAAAACAAATTCCTGCAATGTTCAAAAGGTAGGTCACAGTGACCTACTTTTTGATAAATACGTTTTAAGGCATCTAGATGCATCAACTTACAAGATTTGGTGATTCTAAACCTCTCGCTGTCTGAAATAATGGGATTAAATGTTTTAGAAAAGATTTGATGATCCTAGTCATTATAGTAAGCAAAATATCAACGTTTATAATAAGTGTAAATTTTGGTCAACTTTGATATGACCTTGAGACCACGCCCTTTGCCCCAGGGTCATGGCTTGAACAATTTTTAATCTTCAACATATCCTGACCCTTGTATGTAAGTTTGGTGAAAATCTGCCTGGTGGTTCTGGAGAAGAAGATTTTTTAGCAACCAGTACTTTTGGTTTTATTTTCGTGATTATCTCCCCTTGTTTTAGGGTCCCACCCCCAATTTTAGTACAAATGGTAGCCCTTGGGCCAACGATACCCTGTGACAAATTTGACAATAATTGGCCAAGGGGTTCTTGAGTTATGGTATTCTAAAAAGTTAACGCACACCGCACAAATGGCCATAGAATTAGCTCTTTGAGCCTTTGGCTCAGAAGAGCTAACAATGATGTCAGAGTTATAATGAGAGATTGCTTGACAGGTATTCCCATGATAAAGATTGTGTTCAGTGGAGACCCAGGCCTGTCTGTGATCAGTATCCCCCTAATGGTGTACCACCCCACACAGATCCTACTCGGGGGCCTGCTGGTGCCACCCCTCAAAGAGTGGATGTATTCTGCAAGAAGGAACAGGTAAATAACATTAAAACTAGAGGCCCATAGGCCATAAACATTGGCCATGCTGTTCACCAGATTTCCCCCCCTTGTAATACCGATATGGTCCCACCCTACCCCCAAGGGTCATGACTTGAACAATTTAGAATCTAAACTACACCAGGATGGCTTCCATATAATTTTCAGCTTTCCTGGCCCAGTGGATCTTGAGAAGAAGATGATTCTTCCTTTATATTTTTCAATGTAAAACTTGGATTCTCTCATGTGGCCCCACCCTACCTCTGGGGGTCATGATTTGAACAATTCAGAATCTACACCAGCCTAAAATGCTTTCAGGTACTGAATGCTTTCAGGTACTGTAGATTCCTTATTTTTTGCAAGTGCTTATTATTGCAAGATGGCTCTTAAGCATCAAATGGCAAGAATAATAATTCAGGAATGGATTGTTGAACAAGAAAATTTACATGGATTTCAGCATCATAAAAATAAAATTGAATAATTTTAATTTGTGAGTGATACTTTTCATGAAATTATGCATTTATTTATTCCATGGAATCTACAGTAAGCATCAGCTTTTCTTGTCTAGTCGTTCTTGAGAAGTTTTTCAGTTTTAGAGAGGAACCATTTCTCAATCGTCTGATTTTTTCTAACCAAAGTGCTTAGGTGAGCAGTGTGGTCCATGTGCCTCTTGTTTTTACTTTCCTCACCTTTTTAGCATGAGATCAGAAGGTTTAAAGGTTCTCGTAATAATGTATGCATGTTCATAGAGGAACAACTACATGTATAACACACTGCACTAAATACCCACAGGCAATTACAACTCACTGGGATTTATGGTTGTGAAAGACTTGAAAGTTTACGAAACAGAAAATGTCAATCATGAATATAATTTTCTTACAGGTTATTAATTAACTGGCATTTTCAAGAATACAACATGTCATATAAAACATTTATAATGATTCACAGTATTTGCCACCTGCATGCATTTTTATGTGGGCTTTGATATGGGTTTTCTGAATAAAGACAAGTAATAAACAAGAGGCCCATGGGCCTTATAGGTCACCTGAGCATTATGCAACAACTTTCCAGTGATTGAATTTAATTCATGTTTTAAGCCAGATGCTATGACATTCACAATTTTGAAAGAGGCACCATTGATCATTATAACTATACACTTAGCAGTTGCTTAGTTTGGTTACTTACCGTATATACTCGCCTATAAGTCGGTTTTTTGGGGAGTTGAATTTTGGTCCAAAACTCACTGACCGACTTATAGGCGAGTCATTGAAAGATTGATATTATTTCTGGACTAAGAAATTCAGTTTTATAAGATAAAGCAAAAAGAACATGTATTTTTGAATTTTTAAAGTTTTATTTTATCTTCAGTGTGCATTACTTATTTTTTTTTTATGATTTGAAATTAAAAATCGAAGTCATGTTTAAAAATTATTAGTTTAAACCTTACTTAAACACCCCAGCATTGATTTAAAAATGTCAACAAATTCTGGCATAAAGTTGTACCGACTTGTAAGCGGGTCAATGGCAAATCCCTCCAAAATAGCTTCAAAAATCACAACCGACTTATAGGCGGACCGACTTATAGGCGAGTATATACGGTAATACCCATAGGTAGGGTAGGGGAACAAAAAATGCATTTCAACTAATCAGTAATATGCAGCAATAATCAGTAGTGCCTTTACCACACATGAACCCCTGACCCTTAGGCCTAGATCAACACATTGCACAATTTTTGATAAGGCATCCTTGCTTTTCAAAAATATTTGATTAATACCAAGGAGCAGATTTCAAATAAATTCATTCATTTTCAGTTTATAAGTACAGCCCCCCCCCCCCCTATGGTACCCCTGACCCTGGGGCCTTGAAATTCAAAATTCTGGAAGATTAGGGCCCTTGCTCATAACTATATAGGTAGTTCATCTGCTTAATACCCAGGAGCAGAGAAGAAGATTTTCAAAGATTTAATGTAGTTTCACTATATAATCAATAGAGCCCCGCCCTAACACTAGAACCCCTGACCCTTGGGCCATAAAATTCACAATTTTGGTAGAGGCACTCTTGCTCATCATACCTATGCACTTAGTTAGTCTATTTAATATCCAGAAACAGAGAAGAAGATTTTCAAAGAATTCATGTATTTTCACTATATAATAATAAGAGCCCCGTCTTAACATCAGAACCCCTGACGTCGGGGCCACAAAATTCACAATTTTGGTAGAGGCACTCTTGCTCATTATAACTATGCACTTTGTTAGTTTATTTAATACCTAGGAGCAGAGAAGATTTTCAAAGAATTCATGTATTTTCACTATATAATCAATAGAGCCCTGCCCTAACACCAGAACCCCTGACCCTGGGGCCATAAAATTCACAATTTTGGTAGAGGCACTCTTGCTCATCATAAATATGCACTTAGTTGGTTTATTTAATACCCAGGAGCAGAGAAGAAGATTTTCAAAGAAATAATGCATTTTCACAATATACTTATTTAGCTCCGCCCTAGCATTAGAACCCCTGACCCCAGGGCCATGAATTTCACAATTTTGGTAGAGGGCTCAATGCTGAATACAATCATACAAACAGTTTGACTGCTTGATGTCCACAAGGAAAGAAGAAGATTTTTAAAGATTGCAATAATTTTAGTGGTTTTGGCCCCACCCCTCAGGCCCCGGGGGGGCAGGGATCATGAAATTTACAACTTTTGTTCCCCTTCACCCATAGATGCTTTGTGTCAAATTTGGTTGAAATTGGTTGAGTGGTTGCAGAGAAGTAGCTGAAAATGTTCAAACGTTAACGCACGACGCATGACGACGGACAACAACGGATAGCAATAGGTCACCTGAGTTTACTCAGGTGACCTCAAAAAACTTATTAAGAAATTGTAAGCTGTAGTTTATTATAATTCCTAGTATATAAGCATCTTGTTAAAGGGATAATTTTTAATGTACTAATGTTGACTGTTAAAACTGATGTGATTTGGCACTCACATAATGTTTATTTAATCAAATGTAGAAGTTATAATTATTATAATTACAAAATCAACATTGACTGCTTAAACTGAAGTAAAGGAAATTCATGTTTTGACTGTTTCTTTGTCAAATATTTACATCCTATGAATATCATATCTTTTATTTCTTATGAAACCAATGGTCATTTATCAGTCAAGAAATGACAGTTAACAAGCCACCTGAATAGATTTGTTGAGCAATGGTTCTCCATCAATAAAACTTTTGCAGATATTTATCTCATACCACATTTCCAGGCTCGTGCCATTAATTAATGAAATATATACTGGTAATATAAAACAGACAAAACAACAAACAATTATCCAATATTAAGTACATATATAAGCAAACATCAACTAAAAGACTTCACATTCCTGTAACAAATAAATACTATATAAAATGAATATGCAATGCATAAGAAATTGACAAAATGGTCAATAAACACTAGACTTACTGACACTGAGTTGGTGTCCTGAGCACATCAAGGTTATCCGTTTCACTGCCGGTAATTGTCTCGGTAATTGTCCGCTTCTAATTTAGGTCCAACAAACAACAGTGTGTGCAGATTGGAATAGTATATAGATAAAGATAACATTTGAGTTCAATATACAAGCAAACATATACCTTAAAATGGACATCTTAGTCTTGCGATTACTGTTCAAAATTTTGTACATGCTTAAAACTTTCTGCTGCATAAAATGAAATTTAGACATTGACCATATTGAAATGGATTGAACATTTTCCCATTCATTTGACATCTTTTAGTGCATTCTGGTAAAGTGCAACTGAAACTATATAATGCTAGAAATCATTTCTTTTTCAGGTACATGATGGCAAAGCATGTGTAGAATACCCAGGAAGGGTTCTTAACTTGGCAAGAACATCCAGATTTCGTTACTAGTCTTTCCTGTATATATTAAATTTTTTTTTCACTTGACTGTCTTAATTAATTTTGTAAATTATTAGTTTTTCCACTAGTTTACACTCAGTGGCTGAAGTCCAGACTACAAAGAAATCATTTTTATGGAACATTATGGAATATATGTCTTCAATGCGTGATAATTTAAAACTCACCAAACATACAAAAATATTTTTAACCAATCAAAATGCTCTGCGGGTGGAGCATTCGTGGAATCTTGAGTCTGTGACATAATGTTATTACCAGTGTAACTAAGATGTCAAAACATTTTGAAATGCAATGTAAATTTTAGCCAAATAATGCACATAAAATATCTTGAAATTGTTAATGTTTGGTACAATATTCCTCAATATTGATGTATTAGATAATCTAACAAATTTTTAGTTTCATTTATTTGTATTTACTTGAATGCTTCTACACTGTATATTGCCTTAAAGTTTTCTCTCTTTTTAGGTCACCTGAGTAACTCAGGTGACCTATTGCTATCCGTTTTCGTCCGTCGTCGTGCGTCGTGTGTTAACATTTGAACATTTTCAGCTTCTTCTCTGAAACCACTGAACCAATTTCAACCAAATTTGGTATACAGCATCTATGTGTGAAGGGGAACAAAAATTTTGAATTTTATGGTCCCTGCCCCCCTGGGGCTTGAGGGGTGGGGCCAAAACCACTAAAATTATTGCAATCTTTAAAAATCTTCTTCTTTACTCCTGGACATCAAGCAGGCAGACTGTTGGCATGAATGTAATGAGCATTGAGTCCTCTACCAAAATTGTGAAATTCATGGCCCCAGGGTCAGGGGTTCTGTTGCTAGGGCGAGGCTGTAATGATTATATAGTGAAAATGCATTAATTCTTTGAAAATCTTCTTTGCTCCTGGGTATTAAATAAACCAACGAAGTACATAGTTATGATGAACAAGAGTGCCTCTTCCAAAATTGTGAATTTTATGGTCCCAGCGTTAGGGGTTCTGGTGTAAGGACGGGGCTCTATTGATAATATAGTGAAAATGCATTTATTCTTTGAAAATCTTCTTCTCTGCTTCTGGGTATTAATTTAACTAACTAAGCAGTTATGATGAGCAAGTGTGCCTCTTCCAAAATTGTAAACTTTATGGCCCCAGGGTCAGGGGTTCTGGTGTTAGGGTGGGGCTCCATTGCTTATATAGTGAAAAATGCATTTATTCTTTGAAAATCTTCTTCTCTGCTTCTGGGTATTAAATAAACTAAGTAAGTAAATAGTTATGATGAGCTAGAGTGCCTGTTTCAAAATTGTGAATTTTATAGCCCCAGGGTCAGGGTTTCTGGTGTTAGGGCGGGGGTCTATTGATTATATAGTGAAAATGCATTAATTCTTGAAAATCTTCTTCTTTGCTCCTGGGTGTTAAATAAACTAACTAAGTACATAGTCATGTTGTGCAAGAGTGTCTCTTCAAAAATTGTGAATTTTATGGCCCCAGGGTCAGGGTTTCTGGTGTTAGGGCGTTATTGATCATATAGGGCGTTGGTGTTATTGATCATATAGTGAAAATGCATTATTTCTTTGAAAATTTTCTTCTCTGTTTTTGGGTATTAAGTAAACTATCCAAGTACATAGTTATGTTGAGCAAGAGTGCCTCTTCCAAACTTGTGAATTTTAGTGCCCCAGGGCAGGGGTTCTGGTGTTAGGGTGGGGCTCTATTAATTATATAGTGAAAATACATGAATTCTCTGAAAGTCTTTTCCTTTGCTCTTGGTTTTTTTTGCCAATGATCCAAGTATATATATTGATGATGAAGAAAGGTGCATCTAGCAAAATGGTTATTTTTATGCTCCCCCCCCCTTGGGCCGGGGGGGGGGGGAGTGTTACATAGTCTGAAAATAAATTAATGCTTTGTGGTGAGGTGCACAACTGGTTATAAAGTGGAAGTGAATTTTCTCTTTGTTACTCTGATCTACTTCTGGGTATTAAGTAAATAAAGTAAACATGCTAAGTTTATAATTATGATAAGCAATGGTGCCTCTTTCAAAATTGTGAATTGTGAATTTCATGGCCTCTGGTTTAAAACACAGACCAAATTTAATTGCTTGAAAGTTGTTACACAATACTCAGGTGACCTACAAGGCCCGTGGGCCTCTTGTTTGATATACCTCAATCCTCCAATTTTATCACTATATTAAAATAATTTTGAAATGGTTACTTGGGAAATAGTAAATTTTTCACTGCCTCTTGAAATAGTTTCCTCCCTTGAGGAACCTGAAATTTTCTGTTTCCCTCATACACATTCCATAACTTATGTTGTACATCACACTTACCCCAGGAAAACATCTTAAATCTGCAGCTCTGTCCTGCAAGAACTATGGGAAATAATCAAATACATGTATTCTGTAGAAAGAAAACAGCCATTTATCAAATGTGATAGAAATTTTGCAAGCTAAAACGATTACTGTAAACCAACTTTTGTTTCGCGATTTACTAAGGTTAAAAAACTAGTTCGCCTTGATCAATTTTCATGATCAAGCTTTTTTTATCTGTTGTTAATAGAAAAAGAGACTTTAAGGACTGGTTCGCTGCGAGAAATATTCGTGATAACGAGACCCTCGCGAAAATTTCTCACACGCGAATAAAAATTGGTTTACAGTATTTGCATTAGGTACACATATTGTTAAACAGAATTTCTACTTGTTTATGTTCTGGGCCCTGTATACAGTTGTATTTGAACAATGACAGACAGCACATTTTAAATACATGTGTATATTTAAAATTTTTTTTTAAAAATTTGCATTTGTAATTTTTACAATTTTGTCCAATCTGTAAAATTTGACAACCACAGAAAATACCCATTATACATTATCACAAGGCCAAACAAGAGAGAAGAATACCAAACTTTAGACTACAAAGAATACATACCTTCCAAGCAAAGCAAGCATGTGACTCAGGTTTATTGATTCAGGGATTAATATTCTGAAACAGGAAAAGTCCCTTTGTGAGTTGACCACAAACAAACGTTCACAACATGAAACTGAAATTGACTCACCTTTATATAACTATGACTACTTCATGAAGCATCACAGTGACCACGAAAAGAGTCACACATGACACTTTATGAAGATTCTTGGATAACATTTTACTTTTGTCTACACAAAATGAAGGCAAATGTAAAATGCCTGTACACAATAACGTTTCTTGATCGATGTAAAAGAGGCATCTTTTCGAAGAATTTTGTGGTGGTTTTTGAACCACATCTTTTGTTTCAATTTATTCTCAATATTTATATTTTGAAACATTGCATCATATCTGTAAACATTTTTTTCTTTTCTTCTTTTCTCATTTTTTTTTTCTTTTGTACTGATTTTTTTTTCCATTCATTTCTTTTGATGTACATTCTCTTCATATAAGATCTCACATTATTGTCAAACATCAAGATAATTTTACAATAAAATTCTTCATGTAAAAATATGTTTACATATTTTTTTTTTTACATCACCCTTGGATACAATGCACGAAGTACTGTAAATCTCTTCAGATCAAAATACTATACACAATAGTTATTATTAATTCAGGTACTCACATAATACATCATTATGTAACAAAAACAGCAAGAGTCAAAATAATTAAAAATATTCAGGAAAATAAAATGCCTATGTATTTTTCGCAGCATGACAATCCTACTGCACAATTCATTGCAGGAAATTACAAGATACATTGATAAACTTGTAGGAAAAACAAACCATTTTAAAAAGGCAGGTTAATGACTAGATATCAATTAAACATGATAAAAAGTTGACAAATGGCATTAATGTAGTTGAATGTAACATGACAGGACAGTGCCTTAGATGCTGTCTTCAGGTTACGATTCTGTGGCCTTTAGACGTGATCTCCGGTGACTCTTCCGTCCTCCGTCACCTCCTCCATGACCGACTCTCTTCATCCTCGTCCTCCTCATCATCTCCCGCCAGAAGAGCTTCCTCATCCAGATCATCCTCAACATGGCCCTGTGAAAATTCAACCATATTAGTAATACATACCCCCATCCAAATCAAGTAAATTAACCTCTTAACCCTCAATACTTAATCCTTGTCTTTTACACACATTTTGATCACACCCACTTTGCACGGCACTTTCATGCATGTTGAGATTTTACATATACTGCCTGAAATACAATACTTTAGTATAATTCTACAGTGTGAAAACTTAACTGACCTCCACCTCCCCCTCCGCTGTGTCCTCGTCCTGGTAATTACTATCAGCGAACTGTCCAGGCTTTATCTTGGCTCCCACGTGCCAATTCATGATCAGATTTTTGCCCATATATGTAACACAATGCAGCAATGCCTACATAAAGGAATACCAAATACATCACAAAAGGTTTAATTTAGAGGTGGAGAAAACTTGTATAACAGATCCATCCCACACAGGAAAAGTTCCAATGTGCATGTAAAACTCAATTATGGTTGTGTCTGTTAATTGAAATAATAAGAATTTCTCAAGAGTGTTCCGTAATTTCAGGAAGTAAAAGTTGTATGAACTAAAGATCTACAATTCTTTGGTTAATACCTTTTCTGCATCTGCTCTGGTGTGAAATGTAACAACAGCACTTTTATCATCCTCCTCAAAATCAATTTTATCGACATGACAAAACTTCTGTGAAAAAATAAACAAGTTGTATTAATAAACATGCAACAAAATTTCCCCTGTTACTTGAAAATAATTCAGTTTCATTCACTTTTATGAAGATCTAAATACAGTAAAACTCAGTATTAACAAAGTCACTGGGACCTATGAAATTACTTTGCTATCTCAATAATTCTTTATTTCTGTATAAGGAATTTGTTCAATTTATATAGCTTGGGATCCAAGAAAACTTCATTCTATCCATTAATTCACAATATCTGTGTTCGTACTAAACGAGTTTTACTGTAACCATTCAATAATTTCTATAGTAAGACAACTTGTTTTACTACAACTTGTGATTCAGTGTAAAGGATTTGCGGGATAACATTGAACTTTCTCTGATAAACTACTTGTATTTGAATTGTAAGTCTGTAATTCTTTTATCATTTACACTATATGATACACCTCTTAACTTACAGAGAAGTGTTGATTGAGCTGTTAACTTACAGAGAAGTGTTGATTGAGCTGTTAACTTACAGAGAAGTGCTGACTGAGCTGTTAACTTACAGAGAAGTGTTGATTGAGCTGTTCTCGTTCCTCCCAGTTGAACCCTGTGACCTCCAGCTGTTTGGGTCGTTTATCTAACTTCCTGCTTCCCTGTGTGGGGATCTGGTGTGCGGGTTTACCCCGGCCCTGTAGCCCAGCTGCTACCCAGGTGTTGGCTCCCCGGGGGCGAGGTGCTGCCCCCCGCCCACGACCTCGCCCTCTACCAAGCAATCCCATGGCTGCAGCCTACAACAGAAAACTTATCCTTAATCACTCAATTCACCCATTCCTACAGGAGAACCCAAAAAATTCACATTCCTGACAGTTACTTATGTATCTGAGGTCTTTACCATATTGAATTGAAAATATTTTAGAGACCTGTTTAGTAAGTTCTGAGAGTTTCAGTTTCAGGGCAGTAGTGTCTTCTCCGGAATGTTCCTTGTTAAACAACTCTAACTCTGTGTCTAGAATCTCTTTCCTCGCCTGAAATACATGTACATGTATGTAAGCACAATGGAATCAATACCAGTCAGAGACAAGAATAAAAACACCTCAATATCGGGTTATAAAAAGGTAAATAATAGCTATACCTCCTCTGGTGTGGACACATTCTTGGCCACACCTTTAGGCTTGTTTGCCGTCAATTCAGACTTGATTTTCTCCACAGATTTTGATAACATGTCAATCGTCTGTAAAATATAAATCAAAGTCATAATTTCTCTCCATTATATATTGCAATATTTTCTTCAACGAGTTTTAAAAAAATCTTCATGAGTTATAATCAAAATGCAAGTTAAATGAGCTAACAGATAAAGGAATACTGAATGTACCATGAGCAATCAAACAATTTTTTTCCATCCCTATCATCATGCATTTAGAATTACTTAATACACATTTGAAAGCATATACAGTACAATGTGTTTTTGATCTTCCAACAACAGTTTTATTATGTGCCCGGAACGAAAGATCCGAGGCATATATTGTTTTTGTCCTGTCTGTCTGTCTGTTTATCTGTTTGTCTGCAAACTTTAACCTTCGCCATAACTTTTGAACCATGAATGGTTGCGACTTCATATTTGGTATGCATACTCCACTAATTAAGCTCTTTCAAATGACACCAAGGTCAATGACCTTGTGACCTTGACTGTGACCTATATACTAAAAATAGTTTTTTTTCTGCAAACTTTAACCTTCGCCATAACTTTTAAAGCATAAAAGATAGAGACTTCATATTTGGTATGCATACAACACTGATTAAGCTCTTTTAAATGACACCATGGTCAATGACCTTGACTGTGTCCTATATGCTAAAAATAGCTTTTTATAACCTTCACCATAACTTTTGAACCATGAGAGATAGAGACTTCATATTTGGTATGCCTACTTCACTAATCAAATTCTTTCAAATGACACCAAGACCAATGACCTTGTGACCTTGACTGTGACCTATATGCTAAAAATATGTATTTCAAACATTGTTGCCACCCGGCGCATAGTGTTTCATAAACACATCTTGTTTATGATGAGATAATTAAACTTATCTTGTTGTTTTCATTTTACATATATTTAACACTTATTGGCTGATATTTATTGAAATTTTGAAATAACAATATTATAATGAATGTGGAAATATGAATAGTATTTAAGTACATAAACAAAGACTAGTTTTTATCAAAATGTGTGAAAAGCATAAATCAATTTTCCAATACCTTCATTATCTCTGCCTTCTCTTCAGTGTTCTTTGTTTTCTCTAATTTAGATATAAGCATCTGCCAAAAAAGTCAAACAAGAAAATGATCAAAGTAATTCTACTGAATAAAAGTCAGCTGTATATACCCTTTTGAGGACAATTCATTATGCAAACTACTGTATGTTGTGATTATTAATTTACTTTCTTTTTTTAAACAACCTGGTGTATAAATTCTGTCTTCAGTTAGTAAATTCCAATGGAATTTTTGATAAACTCTTGTTGCATGCACTACTTAAATACACACTACAAATGTAAAACACCTGAGAAGAATTTCAATGTTTAAGGATAAATATTTTTTTTCAGAAATCTGCCATATTTCTCATAGATTTACATTTAAAACATTTTCGTTATGTAATCTTTTGTGCTTTTAGAACATTATATGGCATAATAGATTTGAATATTTAAAACCTGTACATTAAGTCACCTGTAACCGTACATTAAGTTGACAAAACTCTCAATTCTTAACTTAATCAACAGCATTTTGTCAACTTAATGTACAATTAAAGGTAACTTAATGTACAGGTTTTAAATGTTGAAAACAATACATAATTAAAATAGGCAATTAAATTTTTAATTTAATGCACAATCATGAAAAAAGTAAATCAAAAAATCTTCTTTAATCTATTTCTTGCATAAATATCAAACAATTGTATATGAAATGTTCAACAGTACTGTAGAAGCACAAATTTTCGTGGGCATAAAATTTCGTTCTTTTGTCTTCAAAAATAGATTCGTGGGCATTTAATTTCGTTGTTTTGAAAGTAACCGTATTCAGTTTATAGACAAATAAAATTTCGTGTGGGATTTAATTTCGTTGAATATTGTAAACAACGAAATAAACGAAATTTAATCCCCCACGAATATTTGTGCTTTTACAGTATATCATCTTTGGAAATGACAAATCCAATGCAAAAAAGACACGTGTAAATCCCGATGCATAATAATTTTAGAACATCCACATCCAGAAGTTTCTTTATTAAAAAACAAACGTCTCATCCTCTTCACAAAATTTGTAAATGAATGCTGGACGTGGTAGATCCATTACATGAATATTTAAAATATATCCAACAGCAATTTAAATTTTAAAAGAAAAAGGCTTATTTCCAGATGAAATGATAATCTCACTAGATGCACTGCAGGTGGAATCATTTTTGGGACAGAGATCACAAATCTTATCTTTTCATACACTTGCCATCATCTGATTCCTTCATATTTCCATGAATTATTCCATTTACTCTCTGCTGCTATTTATTGTTGGTTCAATTGTAGGATCAAACTGTAATAGATTTGTGGTCCGTTTTTTCTGTTATAAACTGTTTCCTCAAACTTCATACAAGGGGGTCGCCGTTGTTGTTCTCAAAGAATGTTTCGAAACACAGTGTCCCTTAAATCCTGATTGTTAACAAAGATTTGCGATAGTCTTTGTCAAAACTTGAACACCAACTTCAGAATCTGCATACCTATACAGGCTTCTGCTTGTGTCTACCTACTTTAGAGTATTTACCACCCTTTGGCCTGTATTTTGGAGAAATATGTATAATTTTCCCCATCCGATAAGGACATCTTCACTCATGAAGCTTTACATGGGTTGTAGTCAGAAATTAAGCGATATATCATTTAAATCTAAATTTACCTTAAACTGTCCATTAAGTTAAACAATACAGCTATTGTTTTCACCCCCACTCTCTGGACAATCAAGTGTGTTACGTAATCATAGCGAATACATAACCATCACCTGGGACAGTTTATTAAGTTAACAATAGAGAAAATGTTTTAAGTAGGATAAAGTCCTCAAACTGTCCATTCTGTGAGAGAAAAAACTTTTCTCGGCCCTTCGGGCCTCGGAACAGTTCTTTCTCTCACAGAATGGACAGTTTTCGTACTTTCTCCTTTACTTAAATTGGTAACATGAATAATGTTCACTGAGTAAAGTGGGAGCATTTTATTATTTTGTTATAAGGTTTAAAATTTGTGCAAAATTTTGTATGGAATTATATAGAAAGCAAAACAAAGTCTCGTATCTAAGCACCAAGGAAAACCTACGATTTCTTTATATTTCAGGGATTTATTATTTATGTCATTTTAAATCAGAATTGGTCATAAAATATATATCAATCCATGCATCAAATTTTTGTTTGTGTTAAGTACCCCTAAGGATTAAATCCCAGACAGGTGTTAGACGCCCACCTTTTGTTGCTCCACCTGTTTTACCAGCAGCTCGTGCTTCTGTTTCTGGAGCTCTGCCTTCTTTTTCATCACTTCCTTCTTCTTCTCTTCCTGTCTCTTAATGGCCTCAATTTTGGAGACGAATGATGCTGATCCCACGGCTGTAGGACTGGTGATGGCAGCTTTAGCTTTGATGACCTCAGGGTTGTAGACAGTCTTCGTTATGTTACCAACCGAAGAGGTGTATATCACAGTCTGCAGACACAAGATATGATCAAACAACAGTTACATTTTGGATGCATTATTTCTATCAGGCTTGGGGCAAATTACATTGTAAAGTAAGGCATTACATTACCATTACTTCAACAATTTGGGCATTAAATTACCATTCCCATTACTCTACTTTCTTGAAGTAAAGCATTACATTACCATTACTTTAGTAAAGTAATGCATTACCATTACCATCACTTTTGGAGGTTTTTAAAATAATAGAAATTTATACAAAACTTTGCATTTTTTTTTTCATAAGCATGAATCCACCCCCTTCAAAAGTAAACAAGATAAATGATAAAATTCAAATTTGATTTCAAGTTTTTGTGTATATTACACTGTCAATAACTTACATTCACAGAAAGTTCAAACTTTTAAATTGTCAGTTGCATAACACATGTACAAGATTATCCACTTTTTGTGAACTATTGATGTCCAGAAGCAATTTAACTTTTGGGGCACTTTAACCCCTGCCTACAATATCTAATAGTAAAACATATAAGCTATTTTGATTAGTACCTTAGGCCTAGAATAAAAATATGTTTGTTTCCGCTTTCCCGACCAACCCTAATTTATAGTGCCGACACTAAATTTTTTTTTAATGCTTTTGTCCCATGATGTGCAAGATTTCATCCAGGGAATTATAGTCTCCAACTCTGCAAGCTTTTCAAGACAGAAAGAAGTTTGGGTCACCTTTCTATTATCAGTTTAAGTCACAGAAATGCTTAAAAACACCATTTCTTTTGTCATTAATGTTACTTCTCTACATGTTTTCATTTTTTGATTAAAGAAGCAAAAAAATTTTTTTTTCAAAAAAAATAAAAATTGCCTACCTACCTACCCTATATTTTTTCAGCCTGAAAGTGGAAACAAACATATTTTTTTCCTAGGCCTTATGAAAAAAATAAATGCATTTACAAACTTTTTGAAAAAGTAGACAGGATGTACATTTTGATCTGCTAAGGAAGGAATGCATGCTTGTCTTCTACTTTCTTTATTACAATGGACTTTTCTTGGTCAGTACATGCAATTTTCGATTGTTTTTTTTTTTAAAATTAGAATCTGTTTATTTTAAAAACATCTAAATTTAATATGCATGTCTTTGCGGAGGAAATTTCATTTGTAAGTGTGGTTCAGAAATTTCAACTTAAGTAAAAATTTCAAATCAATATACAATGCAACTTTGGGAATAAATTTTAAAAAGGAAACAATGTGTATAAAATACTAATATTTATAAATTTTCATGAATTTGGAGTTTTCACTGCAAATCGAAATGTTGACTGAAGTTTGTTCTCAGTGCATGGCCTTTACTGGGAATAGCTGGGAAGACTTCTAATCTTTTTAGATAATTTACCTTTATTAAAGATGTACAGACCTTCTCCTTGGCTGGTTGAGCTGGTCCTGCAGACTGATCCGTTGCCTTAGGCTTGATGTTGTTGAGGGAGAGTTTGCTGGGGTGAGGGATAATGGGTGGACCGAGTCTTTCCTTAATAGACCTTGGATCAGACACCTGATCACCAGATATATCTACCTTCTCCTAAAGTAAAAAAAAAATTATATGTTGAAATTTAACAAATAAAAAGAAGACATACACCCTACCTTTAATACTGGGCAAAGTTAAAAATAAGCAAAATCAATTTTAATCGATAAAGAATTAAAACAGATATGCTGAGAATTGGAGTTTTACTTGAGTGTTGTCTTTATTTTTGTGCCAGAAGACTTTGACGAATCTGTTGTTGAAGAGAGGCTCAGTGCTTCTGTAGCAGGCCAGGGCCTCCTGATTGGTGGAGAATGTCACAAGGGCTGCCTCAGGGTCGTTCTCAAAATTAACCTGCCAACAAAAAACATAATATGTACCAATATCACTGCATAAATATCCCCCCCCCCCCCCCAAAAAAAAAATTACTGTGTAACACATCATTTCAAATAAAATGTAAAATGTTAACCATGAAATTACTGGCTACTGATGTTAGTATGTTATAAATCTCCATTATCTGTGATCTGGTTCAGAAAAATAGGAATCAAGAATTGATTTTCTTTACACATCAAAAATGAAACAACCTTTACAATCTATTTTTCCTAATTTACTGTTTGGATATAAAATTTAATAAAACTTTAGAATAATGATTTACTTTTAATTTTAGGTATAGGGATTTTGGCTAGCCTTTTTGCTGGCATAGCGTCCATTACAAGGTCATCATTTTAAAATTTAAAAATCTGAATGTAATAAGAATTCAAAATTAATAAAATTAAGAACCCTCTCTACACTGCACACTAAAGAGTTTTGATTCTATGGTATTTTTTAGCAGTAATGCCCTGTTCACACGGAGAGTTTAATTCGAATTAAACGTAAAGTTACTGCGAATTAGCTTCGCTTAGCATTCACACGGAGAATTTAATGCGAATTAGTTTAATTCGAGTTAGTTTACTGCGCATTAAATTACTTCGCATTAGCTCCGTGTGAACGCTAAGCGAAGCTAATTCGAATTAAATTCTGACGCATGCGTAATGGCAAAATTTAGTCAAATACCACTTGTCGATGGTCAGCTATAGGTACTTGTGCTATTTTTGAGTGAAAAACTAAGGAAAATTTTGTTAATCATTAAAATGTGTGTACAGACACTGTGACATTATGTCAGTTGCTTCTGCAGAAGGTGACGTGATTTGCAAATGACGTCATAATAGCCGTGCTGACGCCGGGCTGCAGAAGTAAAATTTTAATTCGCATTAGTTTACTTCGCATTAGCTGTCGTGTGAACGCAATTTAATTCGCATTAGTTTGATTCGCATTAGTTTACTTTGCATTAATTTACTGCCAATTAAACTCTCCGTGTGAACAGGGCATTAGTGTGATCTGCCCTTACATCTAAATTCTAAAAAAATTTGAAATTCACAGTATATTACACAATTTGTAATCAATTGATTCAATTCAAGTATTTTTAACATTTTAAAAGGCCAAGATAAATTGATAATAATGATAATTGAACATGTTATTTACAGGTACTTTCTCCGTGGACGTAAACAACAGTGATTTCTCTTCACTTAAACTGTGTTGTTTTTGATTATTTTTCCTGGGAGTAAATTCCACGTATCTTATAGTGAAAATTAAATAATGAAGCTTAATATTAACACCTTTATAGAATATTTCTCAATGTCCAAAAACATTTTGCACTAGTGTAGAGACGGTCCTTAACTCTTAATTCTTTCCCAACTTTCTCTTGAAATTGTAGTCATACCTGTATGTTTGTTAGGTTTCCAAATTTACAAAAATGCTGATTTATTGCTGAAATGTTGTTGAATTCCTTGGGAATTTTCCTAACTTCCAAACTTAATGCATCTGTGTCTGGCTTTCTGTATCCTGGAACATAAGAGTGACAAATCTCAATCATAAAACTCTCAAAAATTACTCAATCACTGGCCATCCAATATGAATATATTTACATTGTATCAGGATTTGATGCAATTTGGTAGACATTTTAACAAATTTCTGGATAATAGAAAAGTGTGCAATGTATGCACCACTTGAAATACATGTTTATGTTTATGTTTTTTGTTCGCTCAATACCTCCTACTCTGCTGAAATCAAATGGTTTCTTGGGAGCGGACGGCCTGTAATTATTCTGATGGTAGGGGTTTAAGTAGCCCCGGTGGACTTGACCTGGACCACTATTGTAGGGTCGTTTGGGGGGAATGACTGTCCTGCCAGGCTTTCCCTCTGTCCTGGAGTCAATCATCGTGTTCTCCGGGCCCGGCTCAGTGGATTCCGTACCAGGAGGTACAATAGCATTCTCCTCTGAGAAAGAATGTACATGTTCTACATTCATGCATTTTCAGAATTTTCTTCTTAAACTAGTGCTAATTGTAACGGGGACCGTTACAGATGTTCCCCAAACGCTCCCCATGTCCCTTTTCGTGCCTTATTCCTCTTAGACCTTTTATAAATATGCTAAGTATCCAAGGATTCCATTTAAGAATATAAAAGTTACAATGATATCAACTATATATCGTTTAACATTTTGCATATGCAAGATGATTATGGCTTGTTGGATAAGCGATTAACATATCTTTCTATCCCACGAATCAAAGAAAAAAATATATATAAAGTTACTATTTTTCAAGCATATGTCATTTTTTAATATATCGATTCACATTTTATTTCTCTACTTATTTTAACCTCGGGCTCAAAGTTGGTTTTATTCCGACGACAAGGCAGGGTTAAAGTCGACTAAGGGTATCGAGCCGATAGCTAACCAATCAAAATGAACTTATTCAATAGTAGTTCCATACATGGAAAACGGATTTTCCTTTCTGTTCGGAATTTTTTTTAATATTTCCTCTCAGGCCATTTTGACAACGCTGGTACCTGTGCCTAGTAAATTTTATATACTTTGTAAATAAATATATATAGGTTTTTGACCGGAACTATTCATTTTTTCCAATGCATAGGGGCTACTTTCTGGGGTTTACAAGAGATGTTTAAAAAGACATTCATGTCAGCTAATGTGACCAATATTGTTTAACACCTTCTTATTAATATTTTTTTCATGAATGCAAATATCTGATTATTTTACGAAGAAGCGTACCTGTATATTGATTTTTAATATACCGAAAATCGCTATTTCTGGGGATTGCGTAATTCTAAAAAAAAATTCAAATAAATTTCAAAGGTAAAATAAACAAAGGATACTTGGTATCAAAATATTATTTCAAATCAGTAGAATTGAATGCTATTAACGACATCTGAATAAATAGGCTATAAAAGGCTTATATACCAACTTTGTTCATCTGCACTTTAATTTTAAACACGACAGGATTTGTAATTTTCTCCGTATAAATTAATAATTTCTATATACTCTGGAAACTCAAATCAAATATTTTAATATACTTTCCTCGAGCTCTTTTCTGCAGTTTTCCTGAAATTTTATGTGGGTCTGAGGTGTTTTTTGAGTTTAACAGCGATTCTCTACGTTGCCATTAATTTGATTTGTTTGGTTGTTGCGGGGGGAGGGGGGGGGGGTATTTTTATTCTTAACCTATTTAACGTTGGAGTTGAATGTTGTATCTTACTCCAAGAACTTAAGATTGATTGTAACATTTGGATGAAAGGTCAAGGTCATTAAAAACCACCACCTCTTTAACTTCTAACCTG